GGGGCAGGACGCTGCCGCGCCTCTCACTGCTTTACAGAGTAAAAGGCGCAACAGCTCCGCGCCTTAGACGACACCCCCCGGCCACACCGGAGTATCATCTGTCTCGGGTCGTTTACAGCGGTCACATGGCCCCAAGATGTGGCCGCAGCGACCCTTAGCCCCTTCGCCGCCTCCTTCGAGCGGGGTAATATTATGTACCTACAACAACTGTATCTACTCAATCAAAACAATAAAGATTACTTTTACTTTAACGATTTTAAAACGGATTTTACTACTTTTGCACCTGCATTTGCATTTGCATTTTATTACACTTGTTGCAAATTACGTGTGTAAGGAAGAATATGCTTACAACATTAGTTGTAAGCTTATTCTTCCAGCCAGCTTATGACTCTTTAAGTTGGAGGGTTACACGTCCCCCACCTATACAAGCAGACGGTTCACCTGATGGAATAACTGACTAACGCCGCCCATGAACGCCTGCAACTCTGGAGTCACAAGCGCGTTGCCGGCCTTTGTCGAAGGAGTACAGGCTCTTTTCTTGAAGGTTTGAAGGTCTTATTGGTCCGGGAATACCGCAGACGATAACTTGTTCCACAAATTGGTTGTGCGCTGCAAAGTGTCTCGAAAAGCGCACAGAGATGGAGTGCCAATTATCCAGGTGGTGGGGATGAAAATTTTGTCGTGTGGAACGATGGCGGAAAGTTGCGGCCGGTAATAGTCCGAAAAATTCCTCGGAGCACTCTTCATGATATATACGATAGAGAATGCAGAATGAAGCAACATCTCTACGTAACTATATTTATTATTTATGTCTATATTTTTATTTATTTATTTATCCATCCTTTATTGTACACCCTTTATTGTACAGACATGGATGGACATCTACATTTTAGTATTACAATAGGCGGTTTTATCGCTCACGGCAATCTCTTACAGACAACCTTTACGCGGATATTGTTTAATCAGATTTAGGGTAGTCTATGGTATGGGCGGGGGCCCTGAAGGCCAGCAACGTCGCGATACTGCGACGACCGCAGCGAGTGCTGGCCATCAGGATCATAAGGGGGTACCGCACGATCTCCTTTGAGGCGGCGAGTCTCCTGGCCTGAACTCCGCCGTGGGACCTGGAGGCGAGAGCCCTTGCGGCTCTGTATAAGTGGCGCAAGGAGGCGCGGGAGTTGGGTCGGTGTCCCGAGACTCGAGAAATTGATGACCGGAAATCCCAACTCCGCCAGGTCATCATAGGGGAGTGGAAGGAACGACTCGGGCAACCGAGCGCCGGGCACGCCGTCATCGCGGCGGTAAGACCCGTTATTGAGGATTGGCTCGAGAGGCGTGACGGAACCCTCTCATACCGACTGACGCAGGTGATCACTGGGAAAGGATGTTTCGGGGATCACCTGTGTCTGATCCGCAAGGAGCCAACGGGGGAGTGCCACTACTGCGATGGCCAGACCGTGGACACGGCTCTCCACACGCTGGCAGAGTGCCCGGCGTGGGTTGAGCAGAGGCGAGACCTCGTGGCGGCCATCGGAGTGGGAGTTCTTTCGCTCGATAGCCTGATTGCAGCTATCGTGCGGAGCGCGAGTGCGTGGAACTCTGCCGTCTCCTTCTGCGAGCAAGTTATGCTCGCGAAGGAGACGGCGGAGCGGGACCGGGAGAGGTTTAGGACTCTCCCGGCCCGCCAGGCCCGGGAACGGGCCAGGTACCGCAGGCGCCAGAGGTCGCAGAACGACCTCCGTCCTCCATAAGCGCAGGCCTGGGGGTGACAGGTAAGGCCATCTGTCACCCTAGCAGGAGCAGGCCGGGGTGGCGGCAAGCGCGTTGCGAAGCGCGCTCGCTTCCAGGGAGCACAGGGAACATGGGGTTCCCACACGGGGGGGGTCGTCTACTCGTCTGTAGATGACCCGAGGTATGTCGGGGCACCAGGGACTTCCTTTCTAGGGTATACCTGGTTCCCTGGCTATTAGTACCCGAGACGGCGTGCGGTTTTAGTCGGTTCGAGTCCGACATGCCACCGACAGGTGGTATCCGAGGGGACTTCCGCACGGGAAAAAAAAAAAAGGGTAGTCAATGGTGTACTTTATAACACTTTAGATAATTAATATATAAAAGTAAACATACTAAATATATACATACTACTAACACATTTAAACCCATATAAATAATAAATACATACAAAGGTTATTAAGGTTAACACACAAATCCTTTTGAACCTGTGATTTCATCATCATCATCAACAGCCTATAACAGTCCACTGCTGGACATAGGCCTTTCCTTAGAAAGGAGATTTTGGCCTACTATACCACGCTAGCCAGACGGGTTCATATAGGGTTTGTTTCAAATTTTTCTTCTCTTCGCAGTGCTGTTATCCTGCGTAGTTTGCAAGTTATTTACGGTTACTCGTTTACCCCCTATAATAACATAAAACATGAAGGTTTTAATAAAAAAAAAAACAATAAGTACCAATTTCTATTTATTTAAAATATTTAATTATAATACAATCTGACAATTAATTACTTATTTCAATCACAGATATTAAGGATTATTAAAATAATAATTTTTATTGACATATACAAAGTAATTACAATGAATATCTGTTCACACTTAACCGCGTTTGGCGCAAAAGGACTGTATAATCAGAATATTTAAAAAAATATATTCTAATCTAGCTTCCCTAGAAACTGTGGGAGTTGTGTCGTGAAGAGAGACGTAAGTGACTGACAGGAAGCGCGCGTTTTTTTATTTGACCTATGAGCCCGGTGCTTGAGTTGGGTCAATAATGTCAATTGTAAAGTATCACGTGTAAGTTTCGTTTTTTTAAGGTTATTTGTATAGTTGTCCTTATGCCAATGATAAATTTGAGAAGTAGTCTTTTCCCGTCGTGTTTATTTGAAGTATTGTCAGATCTTCAGAAATACTGATATCTTATCTTATCTTGACAGGCCTGTTGGTCTAGTGGTTAGTGACCCTGACTGCTAAACCAAAGGTAGTGGGTTCGATTCCCACCCAGGACAAATATTGTGTGATGAGCACGGTCATTTGTTCTGTGTCTGGGTGTAATTTATCTATAATATGTATGTATTTAAAAATATATAAGTATGTTTATCAGCAGTCTGGTTACCATAGTACAGGCTCTGCCTAGTTTGGGATCAGACGGCCGTGTGTGAGATGTGTGAGATATATTATTATTATTATTATTAATTCTATATAAAACTATGATAAAAGGAACTGTTACAAGAAGATACACTTATATTTTAGTTGTAGTATTAAGCTTGTAGTAGTAATCCCCGTAAATAGCTTAAGAGGCTATATTTTTTTTTAGCTTTTTCTTAAATTAAGGAATCATTTTAGCTGTGAAAGAACTACTCTTCGGCCGAAATGGACTGACTGGACCGGAGTGATACTGCAGTAATTATTCATTTTTATAATAGATCAGGTATGTCGTGTTTTACCCTTCGACATAAAGTTATAATCTTGGCCTGCAAGAACCTGTTACTTTGAGGAAACAGTTCGAAGAGAAGATAAGAAAGAGACAACTATCAATTTGCTCTTAATTTGTAAATTAATTAGGTATTATCATTTTTTTTCATTAAAATAAATTTACAACGAAAATTAAGTCGAGTGAGATTTTTCAAATTTCTAATCTATTAGGAAATTTTAAAAAAATCATCACCATCATCAGGCTATCGCAGCCCACTGCTGGACATAGACCTCTCCCATTGTACGCCACTTAGATCGATTTTGGGAGCGGATATGGCACCATAGACCACATCCACACAGTGCGGCAAATTATACTGAAAAGCGAAAAAAAATCAATATGGCAGAAATTTATGTTAAGATATTAATTAATAAGGGAAGCCTACTTATTAATTATTGTTCTAGAATGTACTTTGAATGAACGCTACGCATCTTCATCATTCCCACTGTCCGTAGACAACTCCCCATCACCAATAAAAACTTCTTCCTCTGCAGAGTTAATTTTTTTACTAAGCTGCAAAACTGATGCCATTGCCATTCCGGTACCAAAGCTATACTCTATGGGTTTCAAACTCTCATCTACCTCATCATTGTCTGTGACAGCTCTATGGTTTGACGGCGAACCATAGACTGGTTTATGATTGGGCCGATTTTTTTTTCTTACAGCTCTGTGCCGCCGGACATCGTGTAATAATGCCTTCTGTTTGTCTTTATAGGATTCAAAGTCACTGTCAGATGATGAGAGCGTAAGTTCTAAATCTTCTTTAGTAAATTTTATATCATTATTCTTTTTACTGGTAGCAGCATCTTCTGCGTCGGTTAGATCTTCTGATAGGCCACTAGACTCCACATCTTTGTATGAAGATACTGTCGACTTCTCCGATTGCACGTATTTACACCACTTGATTATACAATATTTATCGAATGTTAAAAGTTTGCTTTTGATATTTAATTTCGCATTAGCTTCAAAAATGTCACCACTTATATCACTCTCGTTACAGTACCTAGCGGTATTAAACCTAAATTTCTTACTCTTGGCCTTTAACTTTTTAGTCGCCCCCAAATGGCGCTTTTTATGAAAATTCCGATTAAATTTTTTTATATAACCTCTTCTCTCAACGAATTCATCTATGTTAATTTGCCGTGGAAACTCCGGTATTTCTTTCAATTCCGGCATGGTTTTCGCTAAAGCTTGCCTCTCTCTTTCTCTCATAACATCTTCTCTTTTACCCAATTTTCTTTTTAATTCAGTGAAAACTATTTTCGATGTCTCTCTCTCTTTTTTACCAGGCGCTGTAGTTACATCTCCGGCTCCTTGTACAGCGTCATCGTCCTCAGTTTTTACAAAATAAAAAACTTCATCCTTACTCTCTGGCACTCGGTCTTCTATTTTCAAAATTGCCGCGTTTTCAACAACCTCTTCAGTTTCTGGTACAACTTCTTTTTCATTTTTATTTTGTATTTTCTTTAACCTTAATTGTGAATTTTGTATAGTTTTTAAACATTTGGTTAAATCATCGATTATTTCATCAATATCCTTATTTAAAACATCTAGATTAATTTCTTGTTTATTCATTGCGCAAGAGTCTAAGAATACATCAAGACTATTGCATTTATTGAGAGCTAATTTTATTTCTAGACAACTTTTCGCTACCCCTGTGTGTATGTCTGAATATAGCCAGTTATCGGTGAACGCGGAACCTAACTTTTTAATATTATCGCTGTCGTTACTGGCGGAGTTTTTTAGCAAGCGATACATCCGTTCTAAAGAATTCAGGTTTTGTTTGAATTCTTCTGTAAGATGAGGTAAAACAGATGAGTGTATCCAGTAAACTCGTTCGTTGTAATTCTTGTAAAGGCGCTGCGCTGTCTGTGTGGGTATATAATGGGCCATGGCGAGGTGTTTTAAAAGGGTCGATTGTACTACGAGGAAAGCGTGGTGAATTTTCTGAAAAAATACAATACATTGCTGTTAAGCGGTTAACGGTTTCAATTGTTAACAAACTTTCTCAATCATCAAAACTGGCGAAATTAATTTCATTGCTGTGTAGTTCAACCGGTTACCACTAGATGGCGCTTTATAGTTCTTGCAATACTGCTGCAGGACTAATATTTTCTATGTAGTTCGGTTTGAATTTAACAGATGGCGCTAAAATAAGTTTTAGTTCCATAAGGCTGTCGGTACGACACTTACCATAAGATTGTCGTCAGGGTCTCTGTGGACGGCGTCCCAGGCTACATCAGCTTGCAGCCAGGGCGCGTTGCCGAGGACAGCTGATGAGGCCCGCGACATCAGCACCGAGAGGGAACTCTGCTGTCTGCAGAGGAGGGTGTGCGTGGATTCTATTACGGAAGTTACAGAACCACTGAAAAAAGAACGTTTTCATATTTAATAGAAATCCTAAAGAGAGTTGTTAGAGAGTAAAAAAAGTAGGTAAAGTTTAACTCACAGTTGAGCATGCAACGCTTGGTACTCTTTAAGACAAGCAGCAGTCCGTCTAGCAAGCGCCAGGTACTCCCTCATGACCCTCAGCAGTGACGTCAGGGTGCCCCCGCACTTCGAGCGGTGGGCCCAACGGACTAGCAGTGGCACAGCTGCATACGCCGTCACATTGATAAGGGTAGAACGTTGAAGACTAAAATTAAAATGGAGGACAATAAATTAAATTGAAAAAGGTTGAACAATTTTAGGTTCTAACATATGGCCGAGAGACAGAGGCGACGCGGCAGTAAATACAGTGCAAAAAGACCGTTTCTTAGCGTTCCATGGATTCACCATGCAGGTGCCGGGTCCATCGCATGATACATGCCATTGAATTGCGACCCTGAAGTAGGTTTAGGCAGTATGCGACGCGTCAGCACTCACCTTCACTGTCTGCCATGTTACCTCTGTACCTAACCATATGTGATAAGAGCCTAGCAATGCCGCTTTGGATATTCGTTCAAGAAAAGACCTTACTGAAGCTGCAATCCAAGGTCTTTAAGTAGGTTATAAAGGGATTTAGCTGGTGTACCCCCTTTTTTTTTTTTTTTTTTTTTTTTTCCGTGCGGAAATCTCCTCGGATACCACCTGTCGGTGGCATGTCGGAGCTGGTGTACCCCTAGCACCCACCTCCGCGGAATACAACGCAACGAAATAGCCATTTTTAGTTATTTCGTTGGTTAAGTCAAAATATCGTTCTAGTACTGATATTCGGCGCGGCGACACGTACACTAAGTACGACTAAGAGAGTAAACTATCCAGGACAAGAGCACTGCAAAGAGAAGGAAAACTTGAAACAAACCCTATACCAGGCCAAAACTTCCTTTCTAAAGAAGAGGCCTATGTCCAGCAGTGGACTAGTAAAGGCTGTTGGTGATTGATAATGATATTACCTTCTAGGAGGAAACGCAACAACGCAAGCCGCAACCCCCAAAGCCGTGGCTACTTTCTCGCCTCTAGTCATCCACCCTTTGCCGCCAGCAGCTATTCTGACCTCATCTGGGGATGGACTCTCTTGTTCCACTTCTATACTGTCTTCTCTGAACAACAGCCCACTTTCCAGGATTGAGATTATGTGGATACGACTGTATAAAACCTGCAATGAAGTTTAAATTGACATTAAAGAAAATAATACACTTTTCTTTCTGTGAAACTGTAATGGAGAGTCAGACCGGCTATTGGTGTGGCGACGCGTAGCAACGACATGCGTCGCCACGCTATGTGATACTATATGTAGCATGTAATACGGTCTGGCGACGCGTCGCCATGTGCAAGTGACTCTCTCACACTGATTTTCAAATTCATTTTATGCTCATTATTTTTACAAAATAATTTCGATGTTTCACATCTGCCAGACGTCAGGCGACGGCTCAATTTTATTTCGTCGCTATCTAGTGAATAGGTAAGAGGGTGGGTAGCCCTGGATTCTCAATATTAACTTCTTACTATTCTTAGAGTATGAAACAATATATATCTAGAAAATGATGAATTAAAAATAGCAACTACATCGTTATGATCGGGCCGCAGGAAAATTATTAAGTAAACTATATCTGGGTAATCTTATGATCAATTAAAAAATAAATCTTATACCAAGACTTACCATATTTGGTCTAAATTTTATGGCGACCCATCTTCTTGACAATATTGGTGGGCTGAAATCTTGCTTCATAAATAATGCCATCTGAAATGAGAATTCGTTTCTCATAATCATTTTGGTTCGGACAGGCCTGTTGGTCTATTGGATAACGATCCAGCTTTCTAAGCTAAGAGTTTGTGGGTTCGATACCTACCCAGGACAAATATTGTGTGATGAGTATGATCATTTGTTCTGAATTATAAAAAACACCTTTGTCTTTAAAAAAATTTTTTTTTTTTTCTTGGAACCACGCTGAAAAGTTTCGTTTAATTGCCAAAATATGCCTCTGAAAATATGAGCCCTTAATTTTATTATTGAGGTTGTCCGCATCTGACTTTTCGATTTTCCAGGTTTTTTTTTCTTTTGACTTTTATAACCATAGTCCATCTAACCTAAGTGGGGATCGAGCGTATAATGTGTGGCAACTGCTTAAACCACTACGCCATCCGTGTAGTAAAATTAGGAGTACACTCTTTTTGCACAAGGTTGTTCGTGTTTCATATTATGTACATTGAAAATAGCATTACTCAATATAATTAAAGTATTACAGGGTATGAATTAAAAAACTGAAAGTAGGTATTGTTTATGATTGTGTCATTAAAACTATTTAAAAGTGTTTTAATAATATGTAAATTTATTTTTGATATCAGTGCAATTACTTGGCAATCAAGATAGTGTAATTGTTAAACAAATTAGTATTTATTTATTATTATTTGACTATTATTTTTTAAACGGTCACCTCGCCGTTTCCTACTACGAGACGATACTTTGTGGGATCCACAAGTTGTTGTTCTGAGTCTGGGTGTTATTTGTGTCCATTTCATGTATGTTTGCAAAGTCCCCTGCGACACAGGATATATTCCTAATAAGGTGTCTTTTTATAAAAGAAAGCAAGAAATAGTAATAAATTAAATTACGCATTAGTAAGTCAAAAGCTCCTTTCTAAGGAGAGGCCTGTGTCCAGCAGTGGACTAGTAAAGGCTGACAATGAAGAGGATTATGTCACATTTGTGACTATCTAATAGCACTAACGTATCTGTTGTAATGACCATTACTGAAAATTAAAAATGTTATTGAAATATACACTGCACTAGGTGTACCCTACCCCGCTTCACTGTAGCACAAAAATATATAAAACCATCTTTGAAGTGGTGCAGTACTTTTTGAGTTTTCAAAGTGTACGCAAATCAACATAACATCTTTATATATGTATGGATTAGAACAAATAAGTCCACTTCACAGCTCCAGTCTTATAACTTAACACATAATAACATCTGTGGGTTAGTTTGTAATAAATATATACATTTATGAATTACTTAGACAACGTAATATAAACAAATTCACTGACCTGTTGGTCTAGTGATTAGCAATACTGACCTAACCTACCCAGGATAATTACTTATAAGCTGAACATTTGTTCTCTGTCTGCCTAAGTTGGGATCAGACAGCCGAATATGACCGAATATAGAAGAGGTATTCCGACCAAGAAAATATTATAAAAATGTTATTTTCCACACAAAATGGTTATAATCTTAACCATAAACCGGCGGCTAAACTATTTATTTATATACCTGTAGTGCATACAGTATGTAAAAAGTAAATATGTAAGTGACAACATAATAAAATATAATTACAAAAGGACTTGCCTTTGTTATAGTTATGTAATTTGTTAGTAAATTATATATTTTACATTTTTCGACACAATACACAAATTCACTAGTAACATGACACTGACAACTGACAAATATAAATATTGGCACCGTGCCACCACGTGCGTTTCTAAAGAATGTTATTATTAGAGCAATAATATTAAATCAAAAAAATTTTTTTCTTCACCAACGACTGTGTTTCCATATTTTGAGTATTAAATAAAATGTACTTACCGATAATTCTCGAAGCTGGTAATTTATTTGTATATTATGAAACGCCAAATTTGAAATTAGTGTTTAACAAATAACTACGAACCTTCCCGAAAAGAGGCCTTCCTAAAAGGCTGGCAATGCGTGTTTGACTCCTGAGACGTTCATGGGCGGCGATGGGCACTTTCCATGAGGTGACCCGTCGTTGCTCGTCTGCCCAATCTAACATAAAAAAAAACTACGCCGTGGTGCCAATTATGGCAATGTAAATTTTACACATTTTTATCTCTATCCAACTTTATATACTTTTGCTAAGTATTTAAAGCTAGAGCTATGCTTCGACACAGCCCGTCTCGACCTTACTAGAGGTTATCTAATTTTTACCTAGCTACCAACGATTGTGATCGTTTTTGTGACAACCCTTGCAAATTTTTAGTCGAGGCAGTCTCGTAGGTATTAAAGGGTCTATCAAAGGAATTGTCTCACTATAATTATTTTTTACACATAATGACAGAGGCTACTATTTATCTTACTAGAAGTACTTATAATTTCACAGAACATTGCGAGCACTGTTCTCAGAGCTAAGAGTTAACAGTTAATCGAACATGGTACGGGGCCAGGGGTAGATATTCTTTCTTAGGAATATGGTAAGGGAATCAATAGGAAACCTTAGCTATCTGTTAATCAGAAACTTGCTAAGGTGTCTGACGCTCTTCCGGCCAGCACTATGTCATTTTTCAGTTGAATCACATGTTTTTTTATCGATAGGTACTAAAAATAGAAAAAAAAACAAAAATATATTTAATATTTTTAATAATATAAATCAACTGGTAAAAATACACAAATTAATCCCTCAATTAATACCTTATTATAATACAATCACCATTATAAAATTCATCAACCATAACTGTAAATACTTAAAAGCTAATGTTTATTATATACAAAATTTACATATAACGAATGTATATAAAAGATTTGTTTTTTTATTAAAATATTGTATATAAAGATTGTAATTTTTAATATGTCGTCAGGAGGTCAATTCTCGTAATAAAAATTAGTTCAAAATTCAGTACCGATCTACTCTTGATCTCACAAATGTCATAAAAGGAATTCGCGTAGTAAGTTATTAAACATCCAACGTTGACTGTAATGTAATTATATCGTTTGTAAACAAAAGTTGAATTGGTATTCTGCTAGTCTTAGTAATACTTTACTAGTAGAATATATGTAAAACATGATATATTAATTAGAAAACTAGATGCCTATGGAGTGAGAGGTACTGTCCTAAAGTTATTCGAATCGTATTTGGAGAACAGAAAACAACGTACAGAAATAGCAATAATAAACCCCACTACTAAACGAGAGGAGCTATATCTTTCAGATGAGCGGAAAGTTTTGTACGGTGTCCCTCAGGGGAGCGTAATGGGACCTTTGCTTTTTATATTATATATTAATGACCTTCCAAAATGTACAAAAAATACTGTAACGCTTTTCGCAGATGATAGCACAATTACTATATCTTGTAATAATGATATAACTCAATATAAATATGACATTACGAATTTCTTGACATCCATAATAAACTGGCTTGACATTAACAATTTAAAAATCAATTTAAATAAAACTAAGATTATACATTTCAGTCAACGGATCGTTCCAATCAGTTATATATACCAAAATATAAACATTGACAATCATAGTATAGAAAATGTTACGACTTCGAAGTTCCTCGGGTTAACGATAGATAAAAAACTAGATTGGAAATCACATATAGAGACGCTTTGCAAAAAATTATGTAGTTCTGCATACGCTTTGCATACGTTAACGTCAATCGTCAATACAGAAACAGTGATGACCGCATACTACGGTTTAGTTGCCTCAAATTTACGCTATGGCATCATTTTCTGGGGTAACTCTACAGATACATTAATTGCTTTTAAGTGTCAAAAGAGATGCATACGGTCAATGTTTAAACTAAAAACAAGTGATAGCTGTAAAACTTACTTTCAGAGGTATAAAGTATTGACCTTGCCAAGCATTTATATTTTGGAAATGTCAATGTTTGTTAAAACAAATCCAGGCTTATTTCCGCGGCTTGAGGATACGGTTACACGGAACAGGCGTGATAATAGTAGACTGCGCCTACTCCAAGCAAAAACTGTGCTTATGCGTAGAAGTGTTTTCTGTATGGCTCCAGTAATTTATAACCATTTACCGCAACAATGGAAAAACTTGAGCATAAGTGCATTCAAGAGCAAGTTAAAAGAATTTTTAGAAATGAAAGCATACTATTCTGTAACTGAGTTTTTAACGGAGAAAATATAATAGAATGCATGTTTTTAATAACTACACCATACCCTCTATTAATACACTTTTTTAATAAATGTGATACATTGTTTATTATGATTATGACATTTTTCATTTTTTTAATAATATAATTGTAATTGTTATTTTAATTGATATTGACATAAAATAGAATTCTGACCTCGTATGATGTATTAAATAAGCCCAACTCGTTATTAATGTTATCTTATTGCATGCCTAAAGGTAGAATGTGGCAGAAAAAAATATTATAACTGTAACACCTAATTGTAAACCCATGTTCGCAATGAAAATAAACTGATTGATTGATTGATTGATTGATTGAATACCTTTTATGACATTTTTGAGGTCGAGAGTTCGTAAAATATACTTATTTTTATAAACTTCAAAGCAAAACCGAACTACTCAGACCGTGATACACGAAAACGAGAAACGTAAAAATACCATTCATTTTGCTTGATTTTTGACAGGATGTTACTAAAGTAAAGAATGGTTGTATCGAAACCCTAAAAAAATGCGTTTTGAAGCTTCAAGATTCTAGTTATTCAATCTTTAAGCCGAAAAAGTCCGAGATAATAATATAGCAAACAATTAAAAATTTAAAATTTCTTTTTTATCCTTACTACGTCTATTTGTTGCGGAGGTTTACGAAATTAAACCGAAAATGAAAATTTTCAAGAATCCACAACGTTTTAGCGCGAAAATGTTGATCAATTAATTTACATTAACCAACCCTGCCCCTCCACCGTTGTCAATTTAAATAATCAAACAGAATGAGTATATTCTTTAAGGCACACAGGAGTAAATAATAAATTCAAATATCACTATTTGTGACCAAGACTTGTCACATATGCTACAGAAAACAGTAACTTTAAGGCGTTCCCTTAACATATAATTTATAAGTAACAAAAGGGAATAAATCACATCACACATAGGCCTCTCCTTAGGAAGGAGATTTTGGAATGAATATTCAAATTCTTCTTCTTTCAAATTCTTGTTATTATTTAAGTAGCCAAATACAAGGTCATATGCTTTTGCCTTAATTATAGTTAAGTTATGTCTATCTCAAGGGGTCGACGGTGTATGCGCGGAAGTAACAAAGAAGACAAGCAACTCGACCGGCATTCAGCAGCCCACTGAGTTAGCAGACAGCACAGCCTTAAGGGCCATTTTCGAAATAAAACTTCGTTCAAAATTCATTTCTGATCAACTCTCGATCTCGCAACTGTCATAAAAGGTATTTTTGTAGTAAATTATCAAACATCCAACGTTTATTTATTTATTTCTTCAGCCAACGATTATTACACTAAGCATTACAGATTCAACTTAAGGGCTAAACTTATGTGAGTGCAATAATCACTTACAGGCTAACACTTTAAAATAACTTTTAATAATAATTAAAACGATGTTCAATAAAACGTGAACGTTGACTGTTATGTGATTATATTTTAAAATTGAATCAGTATTCTGCTAGTTTCAGTAATAGTTTAGGTACTACGAGAATACCATTTTATATTCGAGATCGAGATTTGATTGGAACTGAATTTTGACCGAACATCTATTACGAGAATTGGCCTCCAGGTTGCACTGGTCTGGTTACAGGCAGCCCGTAGTTATTTTTTTTGTACTATAGGGGGAAATCATGATAAGTTACTACTCCTACATGTGCAACTATGAGTCACAAGAGCTCCCACAGAGTTTAGGGTTTTTAACTTTTAACACAGTGATCACACTCACTCAGTTAAAAGCTTAACACCGGTTTTGTGTGAGGCCGTGGTATCACTCCGGAAGCATGACTCTCCCACGGCGGATAGGACAGGGGCAACCCAAGTTTGTAATACTTATTAAGTGCGTTAATTCCCATTAATTAGTAAATATTTAATTTATACATAATATGCAGTCGGACATTTGTAAAAAGGAATAATTTATTTGTAGAATATCTTAAACTTACGATTTAATAATAATAATAACTGTACGTGTGATGACGGATTCAGAATACGGAGATCATCTCGTGGATGTCGTCACAGCCGAACAGCACTGCAAAGAGAAGGCAAACTTGACACAAACCAACCCGTCTGGCCGGCCAGCGTGGTATTGTAGGCCAAAACCTCCTTTCCAAGATAAGGCCTATGTCCAGCAGTAGACTAGTAAAGTCTGTTGATGATGATCAACTGGAATAAGTCACACCAAGCCGTCTGATCCCAAACTAGGCATAGCCTATACTATGGTAACCAGAATTCTAATAAATGCTTATATATTAAATAAATACATTACATCCGTTGCCACGTACAATTTTAACGTAACACCACTAGTTTCAAGTGAATCTAAAAGAACGGCAATTACTGAATGAATTTATAATTTCGCTTTACTATCGATACCGTCAATTCCATTCGCCATAAACAATTCTATAAACGGGGCCACTCTCTCTGGATTACTTATATGTACATCATGGCCGCCCGCCACATTTACACAACGATAATTATTGTTAGGATAATTTGACTTATCTAATAAGAACTTTGTATTTCTGAACCGTTGTTGCTTTAAGGACTCATCGCAGGCTATAGTGAGGATGGGGTTCTTCACAGCTGTATGTATAGTTTTGATATGTTCCGGTGAAAATGGCGGGCCATTTATTTTCTTGTTGCGGCGATCGAATGTATACCTGGGGATAAAAAAAGATATATATATATTATATTTCAATATAAAAGCAAAGACTGCACACCTTGCCGCTTCCTACTGTGCTGAGTGTTGTAGGTTCGATCTTCATATGGGATAGTTGTTCTGAGTCTGGGTGTTTTTTGGGAGACGTCTTTTAAAAAGAAAAGAAGAAAGAAGAAGAAAAGACAGGTTAGTTACACCAGTTACGAGTATAACTCGAGAATGTATAGGCCAATTTTTATGATGTTTGATTTTTTGAATTGGTCTTATCTCCGAATAGCAGAATAACTATTAACATATGGTGTATTAAACCGGATGAAGAGCACAGCTGTGACTAAAAACGCAGGTGAAACTGTGGGGAACTACTAGTTATACATATATAGGAGAACTACTTCGTCGCCATCTAGCGAAAAAAACCTGAACTATTTTGTAACTATTTTGCATCGCGCAATTGAAGTTCAATTATTTTTTTGTTATGCTATAGAGGGCACAGGAGTAGACGCAAGAGTCATTTGATGTTAAGTGACTACCACCTTGCAAGGAGACCTAAAATTTAAGAGACACAAGGGCGTTCCCGCACTTTAAGTGTTCCCCCATGAATTGTGGAGGGGTTTGGCCTCCGGTTAGACCTATTTTTCTTAACGTTCCATGGATTCACCGTGCGGGTGCCAGGTCCATTGCGTGATAAATGAGGGCAACCTATACGACTGCGAAAGGCGCAACTTTGGGAATCAATTTATTTGGTTTCTTGAGAAATACTTTATCGTTTATGATTAGTGATGTTTAATGATTCTTCAAGAATTGAGGTTAAAAATGAATAAAAGTTGTTATTATTGTTGTGTTAAACCTAACTAGTAGTTTCAGAGATAAAACAACTCATCAGTTTTATAGTAAGTATTATTGCAGATTTAATAAATAGCCGTTGAATTTTAATCTCTAGTGGAACAGTTATAAGTATTATCAATCAAGGTCCGCCCCCTGACCAATCAGGTACCAAGCTTTCGTACGAAATGATATCTTCCTAGAACTTGGTCAGCGGTCAGGGATTGGTCAATGCGTCACTATATTCTTAATGCGAATGGAGTATAAATTATTTACCCTTTTAAAGAAAACTTACCTAATAAGGCCTTCGCCAGCAGGTTCGGACAAACGCTCTAATACAACGACTGCCTGTGCCTCAGTCAGCAACGGACGATTTTCTCTAAGTGATGCTAATGCCTATAAATAATTTATTTATATTAAAGATTTGTGTGATGTGAACTTAATTCAGTTTATATTCCTGTCTAAGTCTTACTCAAAATGCTTGTAGGAACCTCAAGGAAAGCCAAAGGCATCGTATTAGTCTGGTACGATGCCAAAGGCATAAATAATAATAATTAAAATCTCAAGTTTTTTGCACTTTAAAAGACATCTAAAGTGTCTGAAGAGTTATGCGAAGGAGACAGATACAACTTCCAGGTGACGTGTTGCACGTTCAGTTGTTTTAAGTAGTTTGCAATATGTATAGATAGTTCGACTCAGTTGTGCGCGCGGCCCTATGTGTGTGTGACGCGGTGCTCGGACGACGACTGCCACACGAATGAAAGTTGTATATTTACAAGCCCACGCACACATAGGGCCGCGCGCACATCTGAGTTGAACTATCTATAATACTCTGTCTCTCTGTAAAGGAATTATTTTTCACATTTTTTGCAACATTATTCATTATTTCTCGGCTCCTATTGGTCTTAGCGTGATGTGGTCAATAATTGAGATAAAACTAACTAACAAAGATAGGATATCTTTAACTTGTACCAAATTACAGATAGTTATGAAATTTGATTAAAATCGGCAAACTAGAGTTATGATCTCAAGATTTAACGTGTTCCGGGTGTCCCTCTAATGGAAACGTGGCAAATTGCATTACATAACTACACAGGGGCGGGTTCTCGGGATTTCCTTCCTAGCATATTTGTCGCTTACAATAATAATGGTTTGATTCCAATATACTTCACTGCTAACATCGGCTAGGTGATGACCTGCAGCGGTTTCCAAACAATAAAAAAAATTGACTAGTAAAACACAATCCAACCATCAACTTTTTATACAAATATTGTGTCTAGATTTATAAATCTTACTACTACTATACGTGTGTAAGTTACAATAAATGTTTATTATCAACTCAGTCACGTCAGAACTGCTGAAGGAATCTGGATAAAATTCGGCACAAACATAGATTATGGCAGGATAAGCAAATAACTAATTTCTATTTGCGAAAAAACTATTGACAAAATCAACATAAACGGTATCGCAGCCGTTCATACTAGTAATAAAAATAAGTAATAAACCGATTAAATTAAGAATGTATGTCAAAAGTACCTCTTTCCACTTGAGTTTAGGAGCTTTCTCTTTCGGCGTGTTATACTTCTGGTAATTTTTAAAGTACTCGGCGAAATAGTAATTGTACCTGAAATTAAACAATCGATATCTGTGTTAGTAGACGTTTTAATATCGTACTCATTCGCGGCGCAGCAAGCTAAGTGGACTAGTGATAAAACATATATATTCTCTTGTCGATAAAATTCCTAACGAAGTTATTCGACAGAGATCTATAGTAACCGACATCGCACGGAGAATCAGTACGCTGAAGTGGAGGTGGGCCGGTCAAGTCTAAAGACGAACTGATGGTCGCAGGAGCAAACATGTGCTAGAGAGAAGTATTTTAGACCGCTGTGTGGCTGACAGCGGATGGATGCGGACTGCCCAAGACCGGGATAGTTGTCACTCCTTGGGGGATACGACACATCAATACACCAATACCATCAGAGCAACCAGCAGCAAACAGGAGGTATAGCTTTGAACTTACCATTTCCGAAAGTCTTCAGGCGGAACAGCGACATAGTTAATAGGATCTATTTCTATCAGTTTCGATATGTTTCCTGGGTAACACACATTGTATATTTTACCTGTAAATGTAAACATGTATTTCAAAACAAACAACCCGTGAAAACGTATAGATACTTTAAATTTACAAACCGGCGATTTTAATTTTTATACTTTTTCTATACCCAGTGTCACTCTTGTGATTAAGACGAATCTCGACACCTCTAACGACAAACTCAGATAAGGTGACTAGACTATAGAACGGACCAAAGTACATTTGAAAATCATAACCACTATTTGGCGCAGTTAGGTAAGATGAATATAAATAGGCCATTTTTAATCATCTTCTTTTATATTAAATTCTCGTGTCACAATGTTCGTTCCCGTACTCCTCCGAAACGGCTTGACCGATTCTCATGAAATTTTGTGTGCACATCGGGTAGGTCTGAGAATCGGCCAACATCTATTTTTCATACCCCTAAATGTTAAGGGTGACTCATCCCTAATTTTTTTTTGTTTTGCAATACAACGTTTGCCGGATCAGCTAGTATTTACATAAAAATCGTTCGTGTTCGTGATAAACTCTGAAACTACACAGCCGATTTTGATCAAATTTCGTAACTATCTGTAATTTGGTACAACTCAAAAGATAGGATAGTTTTTATCTCAATTATAGACCAAAACACGCAAAATTGGGAAAAATTATTCCTTTAGAGAGACACAAATAAACACTATACAATTAAACTCATACTTAAGTATTAAATATTAATTACAACGCCATCTATGGATGACATGCAAAACTACTTCAAACAACTGAACCCTGCATCACGCTAGCTGAACCGCGCAACTTGGTCTGCGTCTCTCAAAAGGAACAAATTTTCCCCTAGAGCTTTTTTCATTGATTTTCGTCTCCTAAAGCCTAATGTTATATAGTCTATATCCTTCCTCGATAAATAGGCTATTCAACATTGAATGAATTTTTCAATTCGAACCACTAGTGCCTGAGAATAGTGCGTTCAACCAAACTTTATAACATAGAAACAGCTACCACTACACTAAATTGTTACAAAAGCCCTATTACCTAAATACAGTATGCGGATCAAACGTCTTACCTAATACTGCACCAAACGAATGCCCAATATAAATGAAATTCTTCCACCTGAAATGTTTCACAACAGCCTGCACAGAGTATGCAATGTCATATATACTGATCATGAGGCCCGGGGGGAAGTTGTCTGATACCCCATTACCTGGTAATTCAATACCTGGAAGCAGGAAAAAATACAAAATACAATACACTACTGAACATTTTATAGTACTAATACAGAAGTAAGTTCCTTTTGAGTAAATATAGACTCTGATTCTAACACAATAAAGTGCAATTCCGGTGGCACAATGCTAATCACTTACAGTTTTATTCACCTAAAAGTTGTCTCTCTTACTATCGCCTAACTGTTAATTGAGTTGAGGCTGAAAGGCTGGGAGCGGATATATGCGGACTGCCCAAGACTAGGATGGTTGGCGATCCTTGGAGGAGACATTTCTTCAGCAGTGGATAGGCTAAGTATATAATTTTTTTATGGAAAAACGATTATTTGTATGGTATGTAAGTGTAATGTCCGAGATGTTTTGAGTTTGTTATAAAATCAAATAGTATTTGTATGTACATAATACAGCATATTTATGGATGAAAAGCAAAAGTGGTTGTAATTAGAAATTTAGTGGGTCTTATTCATACATATTACATACATACATACTCTTCTGACGACGTTAGAGTTGAATGTTTTTACTATTCGATGTTCTTTGAAAGTATGAGAGCGGTTTCGCACCACGTCCGATCAGAATCCGATCCGAATTCGTGAAAATACGGACCTAAGTAAACGGTAATAAAACTATTTCTATGATAGTTTACGCACTAGATCCGATTTCTTTCATGAGATTTTTTTCCGTTATCGAATCTCTAAAGATCATTGGTGGACCATAGCCGCCATACAATTATTTGTATAATTCTTTACTTCTTCTGTGTCGTTCGTACGTACATTGCAAGAAGTTGACACTAATCGAAAGGACTCATGATGAAATGATCGCTCTGCTGTGGCTTCGCGTAAAATGACGTATACTTCAAGGTAAAGGTAAGTAAACTTTACACTAATTCAGTCAGCCAGTCTTTCAAATCCGTAATCACGGATCAGAAATGCGAAAAGCAATATCCAAATTCAGCCCGAGTTCTAGATCCATCCCTATCTCACGGATTCGGATTGGACGTATTGCGAAACCGCTCTCAGAAATATGAGTTTCTAATTATTGTTATTATTTAAGTAAGACCGTGTGGTGACGGATTAAGAATACAGAGTGTCACCACCCGTATTCACCCCGTGGGTGTTGTAAGAGTCGACTAAGGGAGCAAACTACGCCGGACAAAAGCACTGCAGAGAGAAGGATAACTTGACACAAACCCTATACCAACCCGTCTGGCCAGCGCGGTATATTAGGCCAAAACCTCCTTTCTAAGGAGAGGCCTATGCCCAGCAGTGGACTATTAAAGGCTGTTGATGTGGTGTGATGATGATGATGATAAAATTAGACATTTAGACAGTACCTAACGCAATGATGATGCTTGAAGCTTCCAGCATTTAGTTAGTTAGCTTAAGCCTCACCGCAAATATACAATAATATTGCCAATGCAATATTGGCAAAAAAAATCATCACACTGCACAATATTATTGGCAATTTTTCGTGGTACAGTCTGACTCAGTCGATCCGCAGCTACAGTCATGTGCACACGTTTAATATAATGGATAGAAAGAAAAAAAAACGTTGCGTTGAGTATTGCATTAATTTTAACAACGACTTTATTATCCAATCGTTTTATTTGTCAGTACGTTTTTAATCGAAATACCTCTTTTTTTTTCGATGTGATTTACTCGTAAGTAGCCAAATGCAATGCCCTATGCTTTTGCTTTAATTATATTTGATATTTCTATCTTACGAGGGGTTAGTGTATACGAGGTAGTGTCAAGGAAGACGTGTAACTCGGTCGATCGGTATTCAGCAGCCCACTGAGTTATTATGCCCTAAAGGCCATTCTCGTAATAAAATTTCGTTCAAAATTCAGTGCTGATCTACTTTCGATCTCGCAAATAACATACAAGGTATTCTTGTAGTAAAGTATTAAACATCTAACGGTGACTGCAATATGATTATATCGTATTGTGACCGAAAGTTGAATCGGTATTCTGTTAATCTTAGTAATACTTTACTACGAGAATACCTTTTATGATCCTATGATATTGTACTGACCAATGTAGTAATAATTCTTCGGCAGCTGATTGACTAGGGGACGAAAGCTTATGGCGCAATCCCATAGGCCATGGCATAGTAGTACAGGAGGATCGTAACAGTTTCCCCATGCTACAACTGAAATGGAAAAAACCTTATTTAGTAAACAACTTTTGTAGGTGTGAATATAGATATACCCCCTTGCTCTATCAAGGGACTGTACGAGGGAAGCCATTAACAACACAAAGGTTTCATCATCATCATTTTCAGTCGATCACCATCTATTGCTGAACAAAAGCCTCCCCCAAGTAGCGCCAACTAGCCCGGTCTAGGGCAGTCCGCATTCATCCATTGCCAGCCATTTATCTCTGGGCATTTGATTGTGATGCAGTACTTAAGTAAAATCAACGGTATACATTTTTTAAAGTTTCATATTTTAATGCACTTTAATTAGGTACATTTCAGGAAAGTCACTCAGATAAAGTGTCAGACTGACTATGGCCGGTGCCAACATCAAAAGTAGGTGTTATTTGTTAGGCAATTGTGATAATTTCTGTGACTTACGAAATTTTTGGCGGGAGGTGTAATGTACAAATTAGTCGTTGAACCGTAACAATTAAATACTTGCTGCAACATACAATAATAATATGAGTTGCGCTAAAGGGCTGCTGAGTAAGATATTTAAAAGTTATAAATAGGTGTTGTTTTAATTAAAACTGACTTATTTTCTGAGACATGTGTTTTATTCATATAACCTCACAGTATGTGTGTACTAGGTACGTAGGTTTACTTATGATACATATATAGGGAGGCCTTTGTTCAGCAGTGGACCACAGAAGGCTGATACTGATTAACAGAACAAATAATTTTACAATCGCCAATTTCCCAAACATACTATTTAATTTATAAAAATATATAAAGTACCAGTGGGACTAAGAAATAAATTCTGAAAACATAATCTGTTATACCATCCGTATGTTAATATCTGTACAAGAATGCAAAAACTATAAAAAACAGGTTTAATATTACTAATGAGATAACACTGACAACTCTAGACTAATAAGTGTCAAAAACAAAAAACAAGAAATAAAAACAGTAAAATCTTTATGCAAACTTCTCATAATTTGTAAACTTAAAAAGAAACAGTCCAAAAATTGCAGATCCAATTTTTTTTCATCCAAAAATAAAAAAAAACCTATCAGCAAAGACTAAAAACTAAAACTTGTCAAGTTGCTGTTTTTATATCTATATTTATTAAAGTTCAAAGTACAAAGTTGTTAAGATATAACAGATACATAACATTTTCACTATTTAAATAAAATTGGTAATAATTAGAGACACTTACTGCCTATTTTTCCCCACGGAGCTTGAATGAACCACTCTTTTTCCATTGAATTCATTATTAATACAATATATTATTTTTTAATAATTATTATTGCTCAATATATAACGTTCTCATTCATTGAATATAATAATGACAGTAATATGTTTATATAACAATTATTGAATTAATAAAATCTTTAACATTTATTAGGTTTCTTATTTTGTTCACTTATTATTTATAGAATATCTTAGCGAGGAGCGAACTCAAGCGAAGTTAAATTGACATTATTGACAGTTACTGTTCACTGTATCACTGTTTGTTGTGCATACGTCAAAAAATTCTATTCATAGTGATGTCCTTTTCTTGAGTTCGTAGTGATGTCCTTTGAAGGAATTAATTGAAATATAATAAAAGATAAGTTTAAATAAAGCTTTTCCTCTGTACACAAAAAAGGAGGGATTTTATAAGTTGTATGTAATGTGTGTGTATCTCAGTGGTCTATCCTAAACAGTTATATTTTCATTTAGTTTTTATTGTTTGCAAAGTGAATTGATAGAGAGTTCTAATCATCAGCTGTTGAATTGAATTTTTAAAACATTAGTACTTTTTCTTATGTTTGTTTTTACACACTTTAAATTACTTTCACTTGTATGTTTGATTGTATGCTTGTAACCGACTCCTTTGGGCGTGATTTTGACTGACTTTAAACATAGAGAGAACGTATAGATATAAAAACGTATAGAGGGCAAAAACTTCCTTTCTAAGGAGAGGCCTATGTCCAGCAGTGGACTGTTAAAGGCTGTTGATGAACACAGATCAAAGAAAGCTTATGGCAAATGCTTGCGACGTATTTACATATTGGCGCGTGCTTGTTCCCCAATTCCCCACTAAGTACTCAATTTCATGTTATTTTCGTTATTTATATTTTGAATAAAAATATGTCAAGCCAAACGCAATGGCTGACATAACTTCAACGTCCACGTCTGCTATGTTTGCCTGTCCTGGTATCGGAGGGTCCCGTGTTTCCTCTCAAGCCAATACTTCATAACGGGTCTTACTAGATATATTGTAATAGCGTCTTTATAGATGTTATTTTTATCACATAATAAAAATATATTTTAAGTTATGAGAATGTTTTTGGTTCCTATTTCTGTTTTTGCCGCCCCCTTGGAAATGTACTCGGCGGCCCTGAGTACGAGTATACGAATCCTAATGCTTGCGGAGTTAATTATCACGGAGAATAAATTATTTAGACTTGGATTTAGTAATTTTCTTGAGATATCTAAGATTTTTGTTGCAGTTTATCCTGACTTAAACTTCCATACCTTTGAAACGCAATAACCGCCATCTCTTATTACCATAAAGAATATATAATAACGAAGTACAAAGGTCGTACATTTTATTTAACAACTATCATAGTGTACTAAAGTATAAATAATAAAAATGTTATCATTTTTATCGGAATTGCGGGCTTTATCGGAATATTGCTTGATAAAACAACTAACACTTATTTGTTTATAAGGCGCGATATCTGATATTGTCACTTATCTCTCATAACATTTATAATGCTGCTAGTGACCAAATGAGCAGACGGGTCACGTTATGGTAAGTAACTACCGCAACCCATAGACACCGGCATGGCGGCATTTCAAATGTCAGAAGTGTGTTTCCAACCTGAGAGAGGGATGAGAGGTTAGAGCCCCGCTATAAATTAACGCACCAGATGAAAAATAGATAGAAACAGCCAACAGAGAGGTTGGGCCTCTGATAACCACACTCAGTGACATGCAGATTCACACGATCAAAAGCTTTGTCAAAGTCAGTGTAAATCACTTCGACCTGCCCACCAGCCTCCATTTTGCATTGAACATAATCACAAATTAAAGAAATTGTAGGCATGCATATAACATGCTCGGCTACCCGACCGAAGCTAGGGCGGGTTGCTCACAGTGCCGTAACGAGAGAGGTCCCCGGGCTAGACATAGGACGCAGGCCCTAAGGGGGACAGGTATAATCAAACCACCGTAGCAAATAATTATGTAGACGCACCCTACTATTTTCGAAAATATGTTCAATTGGTCGTAATTATAGAAACTTGCACCGGGCGCAACAAAATCTTATGCGGGTACTAGACCTTATAATGGAATTAAACTGAATTCATAGATAAACAGAAATCTGTGTTAATTTTTTGTTTTTTGAGTTCATCTTTAAAGAAGACAGAATTAAAACTGAACTGCGACTTCCATCAATGTTCAGCCCGACAAGTGCACTAGAATCAAACGCGCGCTTGACGTGCGCTCGACGGCTGTCTTCTGATAGCCTAAACCATTAATCCACTAAGCCAATTAAATGTTTCATATTATCTTCAAAATATAATAGTCATTCAATATTTTTTCTCAATTCCATATAGTCAACACAAATAATTCCGCAGATAAGATAAAATCATTATTATCTTGAAATGAAGAGACCGAGTTCCCTGTGGCGGCAATTCACGTAAGTATTTTTTAAATGTTGAGTGACTTTTATGTTGAGGTGTCAGTAATCGTGAAAAAAAAAACTATAAAATAAGTTTTAAAAAGTTGTAAATAGTTAATTTTATAATAAACAATTGCTTTTTATCAGTACTGTGTGCTAAATACAAGGTACTGATAGTATTTTAACCTTGAATGGTAATGCCAAACGTAATATTTGCTCATTTGATAACTTATGTGACGTTCCTGTGTGTGTGTGTTGTGCACATTAAAAAACAGATGGCCGCATGACATATTGGTTTGTGTAACGGACTGCTACACCAAAAGTTCGATTCCCGCTAAAGTCAAACATTTGTGTGCATGAACATTTAATATTTAATTCGGTCTGGGTTTTTCTATGTTGGTATCGTATGTATGTTTCTACAAAAAAGTATATGTATTTATTATTTATATCCGTTGTCTAGTACCTATAGTACAAGCTCTGCTTAGTTTGGGACTACATGAATGTGGCACAATATTTTTATAAAACTGTATCGGTGTTGCTAGATTATTAATTTTAAATTCCTTAATTTTTTTTTATTTGACATACGATACGGTTCTTTTGGTGGTGGCTTCCACATGCAACGAAATAATAATACCTATACTTCAATTATAAGTTGTTAATTGTTTTTTTTGTGGGTAGGTAGGTATAATATTATTTTATTTAACATTATTATATATATAAATTTTATTTGCAGTTTAATGAAAACCACACTGAAATTAGTAGAGAAAGAAGTGACGATCAAGGCACCATGGGGTAACATAGCAGGTAAAACCTTATTTTAATGTGATATTATGTCCAACGCCATCTAGTGAACACATTTTGTATTTTGTTCATGAAGGTAAATTGCTCTTCTACCTCACTTCTTAATTTTGAGCTCCTCTCCTCTTTCAGTAACTTAACTGATCACAGTGTAATTGTCTTTTTCTTCTTTACAGCGTTATCCTGGGGTGACCCTTCCAATCCACCAGTACTTCTCTGCCATGGGAAACTCGACGCCAGCTCAGGGTTCAGACCTTTGGTTTCCCGGTTGCCAAACTGTTTCTTTTACTTAAGTATAGATCTTCCAGGAAATGGGAAGTCAGATCATATGCCGAAAGGAGTAAGATATACTGTTATCGACCTCGTCCCGACTATTACAAAAGTCGTTAAGCATTTTAACTGGAAGAAATTTATTTATATTGGTCATTCGCTTGGTGTTCCTATTGGTAAGAGATACACACTGTAATGTACAGGTTGTTACGCAATATTTGTAAATTTAAACCGGGCGAGATTAACAGTATTCCATAGATAAAACACTATAAATCAGAACCAGTAGTCTCATATGAAGTGTCACATATGTCATCTCACTTACCATCTGACGGAAAACTGACAGCTGTTCGATTTGACAGGTAAGGTCAAATCGAACAGCGCGGGCTGTCACTTTCTTTCATTAAACAGATTCCCACAGATTGTTGGTAGGTGAGGTGTCAGATGTTGGATGCGGGCAGCACAGGTCCGGTTGTTGTAGCGAACCTTGGGGGAGGCCTATATCCAGCAGTGGACGTCTTCGGGTGAGATGATGATGAGATGGGATGTCAGATGTCATCACTCGTTTTTTTTAAATAATTCGACACATTTTTTTAAATTCTCAGAAATACTTTGTAATCATTTCTGTATTTTTTTAAAGTAATGTTGTTTATGGATGTTAAAGAAGAACATTTTTTCTCTCTTTTTTGTAACTAATCTCTTTCAGACAACTCATAGTATTGAGCACTCCTAAGTTACACATTCACGGTTAAATTCTGTATTTCGCAGGTAAATTCTATAACATAGCATATCCAGGACAAATCACTCGCGTGGTAGAACTGGACCCAATACCGGCACATCATACGTGGCCCCTCACCCGTGAGGGTATGCATGACTGGTACCACAGCTACTATATGATGTATGATGACGAGAAATTTGCCAAATTCAATGGAAGTCTTGAAACGGCTCCAAAGTACACTTACGAAAAGGTAGGTTTCAAGGGATTTTTCTCCCAAATTAGACGTGATATTTTTGTTGTGGTAAACTCACTCACTCGGGCAACGAAAGATCGCATGAGGTAAAAAAAGTCTCTGAGATAAACCTAAAATTTTTAATGTCATAGGCACAACAACTTATGATGGATACAAGATCTTTATCTAAAGAGGCTACAGAACAAGTCCTGGAAAGGTGCCTTGTACCAGCAGGAGACGGACTATTCAGGTAAAATATATATTAACTAATATTCCTTAGGTTTGTTTAATGTATTTCGTACTTAAGGTTAAATTTTTATTCAATATACCTGTTTCTAACTACTGAAATACTATTATTAGACTGCCATTTATTTATTTTAAATTAAAATTTATTAGGAAATTCCTTAACCTACTTATCTTAGGCTGCTACGCATAGAGATATAAGCATACTAGTAGAGAGAACACGGGGTACAGCTGCCTCTAAGTGGAAGCGATACAGGCAACGAGAGAGATGGATGCCCGATAGTTCCCCCCGTCTCTAGTTACCTAAGCTGCGATTGGCTATCGTGAAGTGGGCATAGATATGATCGTAGAACTAGAAATTTCCTCAGCCAAGCACAGCTCAACTAGAAAGAGATAGAGGGAACTATCTATCATCCATCTCTCTCGTTGCCTATATTGCAAGATTGGGGTTCTTGTTCCCTCTATACTAATATCTCTATGCTGCTACGTCTTCATTAGGCTACCAAAAGCCAATTATTTCTACTAAATTATACAATGAGGATTTTTTTTCTAAATCACCTAGTTTTATTTAGTACTTTTACCAAATCTATCTATGCATAGAATTCTTCATTCTTTTCTTTACTTTTTCTACCAAAACTTCAAACAATTATTCTATTTCAAAAACACTCGCATTTGTATTCCAGATTTACATTTGACCAGCGCATGAAAGAAGTGTCGGTGTTGCCATTTTCTGGAGAAGCTTTGGGTAAAATATACACAACTACAAATACTCCCACGTTTTGTGTTGTGGCCAAAAAAGTTTTAGACCAAGGCATTTACGATCCCGTGCCTTTTGTATACAACGAAAAAGCATGGCCAAATAATAATTACAAGTTCATAATTGTGGAAGGAGGACATGACATACATATAGAGAATCCTGATTGTATGGCATCTGATATAAGCAAATTTTTATTAGCGGATGTCAATAGCAAAATTTAAAATTTGTAATAAAGTATGTTTTTCTAAATGCTTATGAGCTTTTTTCTTCCTCTATTCACTACTGAAACCTTATCGTTTTTTGTTGCATTAAACGCAAGACGTTACAAAGTTTTTATAACAAAAAAAATGTATAAAATACTTCAAAAATTTGCGGCCCACGATTACGGTACTGAACTGAAATAATAAGTGCTATGTGGATTTAAACACGTGCACATTTTCGTATTACCGTATATTTTTTGATGGGGAACGCTAAACTCTGAAAAGCAGGATGAAAGGACTTACTCGAAAATGATATCACGCAGGCCAGACGGGATGGTATAGGGATTGTTTCAAGTTTTCCTTCTCTTTGCAGTGCTGTTGACCTGCGTAGTTTGCTCTCTTAGTCGGCTCTTACTACGTCCATGGGATGAATAGGGGTGGTGACACTTTGTATTCTTAATCCGTCACCACACGGGCAGTTCAAACAAAATACAGTTAATATCATTTTTTATCAATTCTGTAGTCACGACTTCTTTAATGACCGTCGTGCGATATTGTGTCGGACGAAAGATTGCTTGCCTTCGTGATGTGTTCATTTACAATTATCTAAAAGGATTTACTACGAAATAAACTTGTCTATTATTTACGAAAAAAACGTCCGTAAATTTTTGATTTGAGCGATACAGTAAAATGTTAAAATATTATTTATTGCAAAGGGGGGCAAACAAGCAGACGGATCACCTATGGTGAGTGAGTACCGCCGGCCATAGACACCTGCTACTATGAAGTCACATAGAGATGGAAAATATTGCTACTTCTTAATCATATGTCAAAATGATTAGTTTTAGTCACTGCGATTTCCTTTTTTCTGTGTTGAAATCCCCTCGGATACCATCCACGGTGGGGTGGTTATGTCGGACTCGAACCGAACGAAAACCGCACGCTGTCTCGGGTAACATGTGCCGGGTAACCAGGTGTACCCTAGAAAGGAAATTCCTGGTAACCCACACAGTTTAAGGTTCCTATCGTTATTGACCCAATAAAACGTAGGTATACCAACTAAATATAATAATAATATTTCGAACGCCTGGCAAACAACGCCATCTAGTTTTAAACTAAGCAGAGTTTGTACTATGAAAGCTAGATCGACTGATAGAATACTTATTACACTCTTTTTCTGTAAACACATACATATTGTACATAGGGAACACCCGAACTCTGAAACAATTCAGTTCATACAAACATTTGGTCTGACCCGGGAATCGAAACCGTAACTTCAACACAGCATACGCTACCACTACACCACTGAGGCAGTCAAATTTATATCCATACAAAGCCGTATAGAAAAATTTGATTATACATAGAAACACATTTAATACACAAGTAATTATTTTTATTAGTTTCACATCCTACAAGATCCCTTAAAGCAGGGATGATTATATTTAATTTAGAATACATAAGGAAGAAATGTGTTACGGATGATATATTGTAGCAACACTTACTTTTACCACAGATAACATATAATTAAGAATAGATTAAACATTTATTTAATATTTACGTCTTTGTCACAATAGTAAAATGCACAGATAGTAAAAATAAATATACTGTGTTCGATCGTTTGGAAATCGAATCGAGTTAGAGATTCGGTTTGGGTATAAATTTATTTTATATTTAAGTTATAAATTAGAAAAACAATTAAATTCACCTATAATAAATTCACCTATTGCTATTTAATGAATTTGCATCACAAAACTGTTTTTTAAACCACATTTATATAGATGACAAAAACATGGAGTCGGAACTGTGATGTGTATAATTATGTCACCAAAGTAACCTATAAATTTTCCCGCTAAAATACTTACTGAAACGATCAAATTTTAACTTAAATATGAAACGAGTTGACAACTGTCAGTTTGTACTTAAAAAAACGTGATATAAGATTTTAAAACATTTAGCTACGAAGAAGCAACATAGTCAAAATTCCTAGTTTTTTTTATTAATAATATAAGCTCACTCTAGGGTTTTTATAACTAACATAGCATATTTTATTTGTGCGTTTCCATAGATATATAAACTACTTGTTATAGAGATGCTAGATAGAACGTTTTAACAAATAAAATGTGTCGGCAGTTTTATTCTAAACTGTTAGAGATTATTATGGTATACAATTAACATTAACAATGAATCGATTTTGTATTTGTCAAGACGACCCATTAGAATACGATCTGTAATAATAATAATAATACGATAACAGTTACAAAAAATAAGTTATTTTATATTAAAACAAGTTGTTTTTTCTTAATTTATATTATAATAAAAGTCACAATATATATGTAAATATAGGTAGAAAGGTGAAATATAAGAGATAGTGCATGTATACAGCTATTAATACAATAAAAACTTCTTTAAACATAGTAAATATAAAAAAGAAAATGGACGTACGCAAATTTTATATTTATAGGAAGTAATAACTAATAGAAAAAAGTTAAATACATTTTTTCCAAAAATATTGATTCGGTACCCTGGCCTGGACCCACCAAAATCCCTGAATTCTTAATTCTTTAATTACGCGTAGGTATCTAATTAAAAATATAATGTTAAAAAGTACCTATAAATTTATTTAACTGAGAATAGTAGTAGCAAGCTTGTAAGCATTAGAAGTTACTAAGAAGTATTTTTTTTAAATACTTACTAAGTCTTATGCGCCAAGTTTTTTTAAAACATGTTCGAATCACGAAAACAATAACGAACAAGCGTGCCTTACAGTAGTCGCATTGTGATGTCTGACATCTCACCTATCATCTGACGGCCAACTCTAGCACCAAGCGCACTCATTGGTTAAATCAAATAGCGCGCGCTTCCGAGGCTTCCTGTTACAGACTTCCGTCCCATTTCACAAAACCACTCCCACAGATTACAAGAAAGCGTGAGGAAAGATGTTACACATCAAAATAAATTATACATTTTTTAAATCATGATAGCCTCAGCAAATATACTTTAATATTATTATGTGAAACCTTATTTTTACTGTTTCCTTACTTAGAATACAATAAATTAGACGCCTATAAGATTATTATTATTACTTATCCTATTTTAATTCGATACTACATGTTTTTGTATTTTTATTAAACTTTTCATTGACACAAAAATGAATTACATTGAATGGTTACACACACAACTTTTATGTGACATTGATTTTTATATATATTTTTTTTACTTTTTCTTGTGTATTCATTTTTAGAATTACATTAAGATGAATTAAATAACAACCCACGGCTTTATAACAATGGCTTGTTATTCAAACTAATCGACTTATTTACGAACTACGATGTTTCAGAACAACACTATTTAGGTTTTCTTTTTAAATTTCTAAATCGATTGACATATTTAATCGATTAAGATACATTGACAGATATTGTTTTTAATAGAATATTACAATAATATTATGTGTTTATTACAAATGTAGTTTCTAAAAAGATGTTTCCATTCTGCATTAACGTTTATTTCTTATATACTAACTTTGATACATAACAAATGTTTTTAACAAAAGAAATCGTTAATCTTTTGTAGGTAATTGTTAGCAACTTTGTGTCTGTATAATCGTAATTAAATAAAACATAGCTTCTTATATTGTTTTTGGTCAGTTCTGATAAAAAAAACATTTGGCAGTAATATTACTAAAACTATACTAAAATTACTTTTACCTTTAAAAGGAAATAGCTACCATTTTTTTTAAGTATACATTTTATAATTCCTGATCCCTATTTTGAAAAAAAGGTGTGTGTGTCAGCTACGACGCACGACTGGAGTTTACTCCTTAAGAACCATTCGGCTGCACACAAGTATACGAGTTATACACACACATGTGAAAGGTGCGCATGAGAGGTTGCGCATTAAAAACGTAACGAGGTCATTCGGTCACAAAATTTTATTCTTCATATTTTTTTTATACCGGGCGCCTTATATGAAAATCGATTCTTAACGAGTAAACTCCAAAAACCTATAAACTTTTCAAAAAGTAGAACTTCTAACCCTGAACCCATATTTTATTAGATATACAAGAATAAATATATTTATACCGTAAATTACAAATAAATATTATTTAAATTCATACTGAAAACCGATTTTATTTTATTACATGAAGAGTGCAGTGCTTATTACTTTCTGTATTATTTGACAATAACATAAATTACAATCATTCAGATGTAAGAATAGAGCAAGCTATCTCCACCTAGCCCTGTACTCTGCAGTGATGCCAGGTGCGAGGGAGAAAGCTGCCGAGAAGCCCCCTATTGTTGACTTTTTCTAATCAGGCGAGAATGCAGTGCAATGATCTTTATGGATTGGAGAGAGCGGTCTCTCTCAAATCAAGAAAGGGCTCTCTCGCACCTGGCATCACGCTTTAGGGCTTTATGCTTGCTCTATTCTTATATATTTCTCTATGATTACAATACTTGTCCTTTATTTTTATGATTATGTATTATTGTTTTTAAACTACACTAAGAGTATTATTTGTATATCAGACCAAAACCAAATCTAATCTAACGTGACGGCGACGTGGCGCTAAACAGTTAAAGCTGTTAAACGCCTTTGTTTGTGTGTGTGTTGTTGTTTGTTTAACTTAAGTTAAAAGGTCACATAACCTCAATTCAAATTAACCAAGTAGGCAATGGTTGCAAAAAAGAACTCTTTATTGAGAACGAAATTAAAAAATACACGTCCATAAGACAATTGAGAAGAGTGAAAGTTCGTTAATTCCAATTCTAGATGATATTCAATAGACAAAAAAGGCAAAGTTAGTTTAACAGAAGGGCATGGATTCGTAATGGATATTGTAAAAAATAAATAATACAGAGACAGCCATGTTACTTCAAGAGCCATATATAATATCATCGTTTTGGTCTGATATTCAAATAAGCGAATTTATTTTTAATACACTACATTTTTTTATTTGTTTTTTTATTTTATTGAGCAAGCTTAATTTATGAATTGTGTTTATGAACTTTGTCACATTTCGGATGATAATCTTGGTAGCTCGCGCCACACAATACCGCTAGTTTGTAATTCGCTTACAAGAATGTCAAAATGGTGATTTTGACATCAGATAGGTACGTAATGACGTTGCGAATAAACTTTGAATCAACAGGGACGAGTTGAACGACAGACAAATATCAAAGATTCGAAAGTTCCAGATGTATGACTTAGTATCGGTCCAATTCGCAACAATGTATACATATAAGTATTATAGTTATGGAGAATTTACAAAATTAACGTGGCCGTTCAAGACTTAGGCAAGGATTAGTCACCTTATTTTTGATAAAAATGGCGTCGCTGTCAAAATACTCATCCTAAATTTGACACAGCCAACTTAATAAGTGATTATTATACCTATAAGTTTAGAATCAACTACTAATAAAGTTTTACACCAAGCTAAAATGTGTTTACGACTGATGTCAGATTATTATTTTTATAAATGCGATTATAATATTTTTTTTATATACTAAACTGTTTTTAGTGGCAAAAAATAAGAAAATGTGGGCACAAAATATTTAGATTCGAATGACTTCTTGACTCGTCTACTTTGGGTATTTAAATTTGTTTAAAAATAATAATTAAGCAATTGGTGCTGACGAGATAAATTTTGACATTACTTTTTTTTATTTGTAAGAAAAAGTTCTTACGTAAGCTAACTTGCCAGCGTAAAATTATAATTTGCTGTTCACTTTAGTTTCTTTTTTCAAAAATTCAATAACGTGAGGCGCTAGTCTTTCAGGATTAGTTAAATGTACATCATGGCCGCCTTCCACCATTACATGGTTATAATTTTCTAGTGTCGACAACATTTTTAAAAGCTCCAAAGATCCAGATTGTGACTGCTCTCGTAGACTGTCAGAAGCCGATATCACTAATGTAGGGGGCATGTTACTGAAAATGGAGAAATAGTAAGAATTGGGGTAGTTTTGGGGAGCTGGCAACTTCAGGCGGCGGTCCCAGGTGAATCTGTCGAACGTTAAAGGAAAAAATATTTTTTTAAGAATACTTAACTGTATCCATTTTTTTTTAAATACCATATAATTCAAAAAGAGAACCTATTCCAATTATTGAAATACATGCCTATAAGTTGATAAAAACTTGCAATTAATTAAAATAGTGATGCTGTTTGCTGACCAATCATCGTAAATAATAACTTTGGTCGATTTTGATGGTGTTGCACATTATTATTACTTATTCTCTGTTCAAATAATCACGAAACAAATAACTTTTTCTCTGTTCTGTGTAACTAAAGGATGTTTTTGTTTCATTGTAAGTGAAAATCGCCTCATTGTCAATCTCATACTATCTACTCTCTGCCTGACGACCGATATAGGTTCGCGCCGTTGGGAGTCACGGCCAAGCCAATTGTTGTCAACTATCCACGTATATTTTAAAATAAACATACTAACATATATGTGTAAATTGCCACATAAATAAATAAATATTTTCGGATATCTGACACTTGTGTCTAGTTTTAAACTAAGCAGAGCCAGCAAGTATGACCACTGATGAGTAAATCCAATCTTACCTGTACTGGTCACCGTGCACATGCTTCAAGCTGTTACTAAGAATGATAGAGGCTTTATCCTCCGTTAGATTCCGAGCCCGCATCAAAGCTTGTTTGGCTTCTTTAACAGTGTACGTCTGTAACAATAATGTAATTAGAACAATTAGAACGCCCCCGACAGCAGTATCAACCTGTGCCTGTGATCGGCTCGCTGATCATAATTGTGATCGTTGATCGCGAATATAAATAATCATATTTAAAAAAAGTATCAAAGTATCTTCATACCAAATTTCATCTAAATAGGTTCAGCGGTTATTGATTCCTCATACAAGCTTCCACCCCCCTTTTCACCTCCTTAAAGGATGATTTCTAGGATAAAAATTACCCTATGTCCTCGGAACCGCAACCTACCGAATCTCTGCACCGAATTTCATCTAAATCGGTTCAGCTGTTTAAGCGTGAAGAGGTAACAGACCAACAGACACACTTTTGCATTTAAAGATGTCTAGTGATCAAGGACGAAGGAAGAAGAAACTCTCATTGTACTGACCGTAAATAAATTGATCCCCACATGGGACAACACTTTGTGTTGTCCACAAATTGTTCTTCTGAGTCTGGAACCTAACCGTTTTCAAGATATTGGACTTTTAAGATTTTTTATAGAATATTCAAAATTTTATAAAAATCTTAAGTTTAAAAATAATTAGGTTTGGGATATGGTAGTTAATAGTGAAATCTATTAGAAATGATGGCAACCACAAGCCCTTAAAGTATCTAGTATATCTAATCAGTAACCCTGTATATACCTACCTGTGTCGCGGTGGACTTTACCTAGTGCGGGAGTTTTCTTTTTAATAAGAAGTATAAGTAAGGAAGAAATACTTACCCTATAGTAGAAATTATCTTTCCAATAATTGTTATAATAATCATCGTAGAACATGGTTTGATACCGAGGAAGGTCGCGGACTTGTAACCTCCGAAGAGTGGGCTCGGGATCACACAGTATCATTTTAGTTATCTTGCCTGGATTAACACTGTTGTAGAATAGACCTAGGGACAACACAATATGTTTAACTTTATGTAAAACTATTTAATAAAGTGAACGGCGATCATCATCATCATCAGCCTATCGCAGTCCACTGCTGGACATAGGCCTCTCCAATTGCACGCCACTTAGATCGATTTTGGGCTTCTCGCATCCAGCTCCTGCCAGCCATCTTGCGCAAATCGTCACTCTACCTGGCCTGTGGACGTCCTACACTACGTTTGTCGAGACGCGGTCTGCACTCAAAAACTCGTTTTCTCTAACGGTTGTCGGTTCTACGGCTAATATGGTAAGCCCACTGCCACTTCAGCTTACTGATCCGGTAGGCTATGTCGGTGACCTTGGTTCTCTAAACGGCGATTACTAAAGAATAATATAGACATATGAATGAATGAATCTTTTCCAAAATACTAAAAACAGAATGTACACAACTTAACAATACCCACTGATCAATATCAAATAAAGTAACAATTATCGACAATACTCGATGCTAACACGTCCGTCTAGCTTTGATCCGTGCTACCCCTCCATGCCTTCCCAGACTTTAAACGGAAAGTGACGACTACTAAGACACGCCCCTAAAAATAAGTATTTTCGGTGATATCTTCTTATTATAGACATTTCCCCGGGATCAAATGAAGATTATGCTGTACATCTGCTGTATATCTTTTACTACACAATTATTTGTTGGTTTTAAAACATATTTTTGTTGAGATTTTAACTTCACCAGGTTAATATTAACATGACTCAAAACCTATTTTTTACACATTCAAATCTGTGTGTTCAAATTACAAACAGTTATTCATAAGTATTCATAAGTATTGCTGTATCTTACAAGAACAAAACATTCGCAACTTGTTTCGAGTTTCCTTTCAAAACAAGGAGTTTCAGTCTTTTAAACTTCTTGTTCCAGGCTCAGTTCAGGTCCGCCGTACTTCTCCGAGATTCTCCTGAGGTACTTTTACAATAGATCCACACGTAGTGCATTATCATATACTTTTAATTTAATCTAAAAAACCACAACTTGCGTAGTGACGAAAAAGACCAAAAATAAGAGATATTTTGCGAGATAAATTTATTTCCGAATTACGAGAATCCAAGTAACGAACACTTACCTATTTCTGATCCCATGGAATGACCTATAAACATGAACTTCTCCCATCCGAGGTGTTCTATAGCCGCCGCCATAGCTGCCACAAACTGGAAACGCAAAATCTTCACACCTATAATATAAATACAATTAAAAAATACTTAGGTACAAGAATGGTTTATGCATGTCAAATTGGATATGGCTTTCCAGATAATATAGCGAATTTGGACATGATCTGTGTCCTTTCGTAAATAACTTTCTATTATCAGCTGTATATACATATATAGTTAAGTTTTAGAAATACGAACAGCTTGATAAAAATATAATACTTAAAGGAGTCGTATCTTCAATAATCACAGGTTGACGAGTTGCTAATTTTAAGAATCTTTTGGCAAAAAGTAAAAAACTTAGCAATAACATAAATATTATTTAACAAATTATTACGATAAACTTAATAAAAAACCATAATTTTATGTGGAAACAAAACTACAAGAATATTGTGTTTTTTTTTTCTTCTATGAATGAAAGTATTACTATTACATACCCATGGAATAAAACTCGGTTTGTGGAAAAAAAACGATTAAAAAATTGACAAAACAAACTTTATTAACAGATGAATTTATTTACAACTCTATTAACATTTAAGTACAAGTGCAAAATTTAATAATTTCTATAACAAAATAAAATAAAACCAAAAATGACAGATGTAAAGCTGAAAGCAGATAAAAGTAACAAAAAATTAAATCAATAATGTTCTTAACGCATTTGCCCTATAAACTAATTAAAAATTCCAGTTAAAATAATATAATAAATGAAGGTTTTTCTTCATTTTCATATTTTACCTACATGACCGAATAAACTAATACATTTTTATGTTTATTAGGGATCCGTAGTAAAGAAATAAACATCCAACGATGTATTGACTGGGAATATATCGTATTGTGACTGAAAACTGAATCGGTAATCTGCTAATCTTAGTAATACTTTACTACTTTTGGAAGAGATTGCTCTTAGCAATAAGGCCGCCCTTTGTACATTACATGTCTGATATTTTTATGTACCATGATACTTTTAAAATATGTATGTGCAAATAAAGAGTTATCTATCTATCTACTTTACTATAAAAATACCTTTTAACCTGCGAGATCTAGAGTTGATTGGAACTGAATTTTGACCAACCTTTATTAAAAGAATTGGCCTTCAAGTGTCTAAAACAGACGTTTTAGTGTGAGAGCACCACACACATACTAACTCACACACATGTCTCCAAAAACACAATTTGAGATTCATTATTAATTTTGGCCTACACAAAAAAGCTTACCAGTACATCGAGCATTTTCAACGTCCTGTTGTGAAGATGAAGACTAGTTGACGAACAAAAAATCTGGTAACAATTACAAAATAATTATTAGAAAAATATATTTTTCATCGTAGGAGAGCCATGCATTATATGCTTGACCGGAAGTGATACCATGTTCTCATATAAAACCATACTTCCGCTGCTTTTCACGAGATTAGCAGTCAAATGATTAATGCTCAAACCTCGTACATATTGATAATATGTAAAGCTAATTGGGATGTAATTACGGTGTGTATGCATGTGTGCAACAGTATATGTGATAGTGTGTGCGTCTCTGTCTTGCTCTCCCTCTGTGTGTGGATGTGTATGTGTATGCGTGTATGAGTGAGTGACTGTGTGTGCGTGTGTGTGTGTGTCAGTTTCATGAAATTGCCTTAATTAATACTTCAGATTCAAATAACAGGAAACCTAATAGATTTTAATTACCTTAGAATTGTCTAACGTTTGTATTATCTATCAATTACGTTACTTCCTGTATAACTAAAAATGTTAATTACCGAACTTATCGCATGCTACAAAAGAAGCACTCTATAGATTCATTGTGTTAGTATAGTACCAAGATATGGCAATTTTCTTACCTAAAGAAAAATAAAAAAGGTTCATTAAACACTTAGACGCTCCAGGCTTTGTGGGAACCATTTCCAGGTTCCCGGTCTGGCCTGGCTCCTCCTCCATCGTTTGCCGATGGTGAAACAGCAAACACGGTGTTGTAGAAATCTGTTGACAGTTTGAATTTTGTATGTCACAAAATTTAAATTGAAGGTTTCAGTACTATTCTTAAGGCCCTGCCACAGCGACGAAGTTTAAATTTGGTATTCACTAAATTTTACACACTAGCGCCCAAGGCTGTGACTACTCGACAGCAAACAATTGACAATTCAGACGTTTTAGTATTCTCTTACAAAAAACACCCCGCCCCACCCAGTGGGGTGGCACCCACAGCCACGCTATTGGCTGTCAAATACAAAAGCTCTATTATTCCAGCGGGCAGGTGTTCGAGTCGCTGTTGCAGCGCTATATGCAAGACTGTATCTTAAGAGAGTATCATCGTCATCATCAACAGCCTTTAGTAGTCAACTACAGGACAGCCTCTCCTTAGAAAGGAGGCTTTGGCCTACTATATACCACACTGGCCAGACGAGTTGGTATAGGGTTTGTTTCAAGTTTTGCTTCTTTTTGCAGTGCTGTTGTCCTGCGCTGCTGTAGGTGTTCTGAGGTAGTTTGGGTATGTGGACCGAATGTTTGCAAAAGAAATGGCTAAAAAGGCGAACGTTTTTAGGATGGCTGGTAGTGAACAAATTGCCGATGTTCTGAACAAAGGATCGATGAAGACCTGCATAAAAGATCTAGGTCCGAAGTGAGTGGGGTATTTTTTCATCATAGAATACTAATGCAAGAAAGATGCTTAGTTTTTGAGACCACTTATTATTATATTTAACTTACATTTCTTTCTACTGGCAACCCCGATACTACAATAATAAAAAAGTATATTACCTTCAGCTATTTCATACATTTCTTCGTTGTTTCGCTCCTGCCTGCTGAAAGAGTTAGAAGGTATGGACTCCTGGGCAGTTTGCAATACGTTGTTAAAACAACATGGTAGACCATTAGCCTGTATTGGGCACGGTACGAAATGACTATTAGATGGTGAAGGGGTAAGTTCGTCGAAATACGTCCATGGAGACAGGCAAAAAGGTCTGTGTTGCGGTGGATCAGCAGGTTCTGGTGAATAGCGGTCTGGATGCATGTATTCATAATTGTAACCAGGAGCTGTGCCAATTGGAGTATACAGTCCTGGACGAGCAATGTCTATGACTGATGACGCGCCAGGAGAAATATTAGAAGAAGTTCTGGCGAAATATCCAGGGTTGTACAGCCTGACCTTTGGAGCTGTAAGAGAAGATAAAGGAAAAAAATAATCGCTACTAGAAATCTACTGAATGATTTACATATTTATAGACCTTTCATTATGATTATGATGAAGACCTTACTGGCCTGTTAATTTGGTGGTTAGTGATTATGTCTACCAAACCAGAGGTTGTGGTTTTATTTCAGAACAACACACAACAATGAACACAATCATTTCTTCTGCAGGGTGTAATTTATTTATAAGTATGTTTATTAGTTGTCTAGTTATCATAGTAGAGGCTTTGCCTACTTTGGGATCAGACAGCAGTGTGAGCTGTGTCCAGTTTATTGGTTTATTAAAAGATACTTACGTTATAACTGACATTAAGGGTATAAAAGTGAGTTCGATGGTTGGTATCGCTTTCATACCTTATCTCAACAGATCATCGTAATATTTGGTGTACTTCTGACCACGTATGTCAGGAGTACTGAAAACTTCATAAAGTATCTCGCGAGCGTCTTGGTTTAGTGGTTAGTGATCTTGACTACTATCAGGAGATCGTGGGTTCGATTCAAACCCAGGACAAATAATTGTGCGATGAGCACGATCAGTTGTTCTGTGACTGGGTGTAATTTATTTATAATATGTATGTAAATATTTTGAAATATATAAGTATGGTTACCATAGCACCGGCTCTGCCTAGTTTGGGAATCTGCCGTGTGGGAAGTTATTATTATTTTCATTATTTTAGGCCCACTTATGCACGAGCAAGCGTATTGCTGTCAAAAGCTCACATCTATATCTAAATAAACATACTTATATAATTTTAAGTATACAGTAGAGTATTTTACATCCTGAATCTATACTACTCTTCACGAACGATAGATAACAATATAGTGCTTAAAGTAAGGGTGACGTAAGGGTGACGTAATAACCTGACGTAATAAAATGACTTACCATAAGTATCTCTCTCAGGGAGTGTTTCATATATCGTTGGCATATTCAGCGTTTCCCGATTCTGTCTGATAATAGGCGACTGTTGGTCATCATTGGCCCAGGGATCGGCTACCGGTCTTTTGGCATAGTTATGCATTTCCCTAACTAAACAAATAAAAAAAAAGGTTGAATTTCAAATACCCTAAGATGGTCAATTTTGAAAAAGTACCCGTAAATAGCGAGTCGAAAGCTCAACTTTTATGCTATTCAAACATATTTTGGATATAAATTTCAGTTCAGAAGATATTGATTTTATTTTAGCTTAAAATCTTCGGGGCGTATATTCTCCAGGAATTGTTTCAGTAATGAACTGCAGCAATAGAGCAGAATTAAGTATTTATGCGCACAACAAAAATGATTTACTTTTTAATTTCTTGCAAGGTGATTCCCATGTGCGGTCCCTTTCCTTTCCCCAATTTTTTAAATGGACCTTTCCATAGAAAGGGTTGCAATGCACTTGTATCTCTTGATCATCATCAACAGCCTATAACAGTCCACTGCTGGACATAGGCCTCTCCTTAGAAAGGAGGTTTTGGCCTACTATACCACGCTGCCCAGACGGGTTGGTATAGGGTTTGTTTCAAGTTTTCCTTCTCTTTGCAGTGCTGTTGTCCTGCGTAGTTTGGTCTCTTAGTCGGCTCTTACGACACCCACGGGTTGAATAGGGGTGGTGACATTTCGTATTCTTAATCCGTCACCACACAGACAAACTTGTATCTCTTAAGTTACTGGAATCCATGGCAGACGGTAGGCACTAAGATCAAGTAACCCGTCTGCTCGTTTAAAGAAAGCAAAATCACGTTGGTGGCCAATGCAAGAGTGATTCAATAAATCAGTTCCGACTCACTGGAACTATTCACTACTGGCATTGGCACGCTCCACAACAGAGCATAGACAGCTTACTCATCAAATATCGACCTCCGTTCTTGAAACGGAGTGATGTAGTGACTTCCACGTACGGTGAAACAAAGAAACATACTAGAGCGCCATCTAACGAAGAAACACTGAATTACGGATTAACTGGTAATCCTGTATCGCGATATGAATAATCTTAACGCCGATTAGCATATATACAACTTCAAAACATCGAACTTTGGGCCACGGCCCGCCAGGCATGTTAACCTCGCCTGGTCGGAGGACCCTCCCTTTGTCGTAGAGTGACATGACACCCGTTCCTCCACCCTTTTAAAATAACTTACCATGAGAGTATGTCTGAGGGAATGTTTCATATATCGTTTCATGTATCGGCATATCCACTGGGTACTCATTGTGTGAGATAGTAGGCGACTGTGAGACATCATCGGCCCATGGATCAGCTACTGGTCTATTGGCATAATTAGGCATTCCCCCATCTAAACAAATAAAAATAAGGTTACATTTCAAATACTTTCAGATGGACAATTTTGAAGAAGTACTCATAAGTAGCGTGTAGAAAACTCAACTTTTAAGCGATGCAAACATATTTTGAATAGAAATTTCAGTTCAGAAGATATTGATCGTATTCTAGCTTAGAATCTTAGGGGCGTATATTCTCCAGGAATTGTTTTAGTAATTCACTTCAGCACCAGAGCAGAATTAAGTCATTATCCGAACAACAAAAATGATGTACTGTTTCATTTGTTATAAAATGATTCCCACGTGCGGTGGTATTGCAGTCGTGCGATTACATTAAGCCGACTTTAATAAAAAAATATATAAATATTCATCATCATCATCAACAGCCTTTACTAGTCCACTGCTGGACGTAGACCTCTCCTCAGAAAGGAGGTTTTGGCCTACTATACCACGCTGGCCAGACGGGTTGGTATAGGGTTTGTTTCCAGTTTTCCTTATCTTAATAAATATTAAGGAGCTCAAAACAGTGTAGTTTGGCCCCCAATCCTGAGGGAGGCTGCTCAAAGAGTGGCAAAGCACTTGTGACTTGCGAGTTGCAGGTGTAGGCGGCAGTAGTCACTTGCTACCTGATGACCTGTCTGTTCGTAAGCTTATTATACTATAAAAGAGTAGCCAAGCTTTGACTGTAAATTCACAACTAAAGGACACTAAGAATATTAAAAGATACAACTCACCTTTATAAAATATATGCAACCAGTCTAGTAGCCCAGCTGGCAAATGAGGACATTCTGATAGTCCACATTCTGTTGATAAATTCGACTCATTATCATCAATATCCTCAAAGAGAGAGAGAGGAGAAAGTGAAGAACTTTCGGATACAGCCTCATCAGGATCCTGGATAGGCTCTTCATCTATGATTCCCCATGTAAACCAATACCGCCCTGACCCTCCTCGCGCCAATTTGCGGCGCAGATAACTTGGTAGAATTGCCTTTTTCAGACCCCTGATGAAAAATACTCTCTCTGAAGGTTCCTGAAAGGCTGATCTTGCGAAAGGACACTCCCGGCCGCCATGATCATTACAAACAATACTATCGTCAGGGGTTTTCATCAATTTCATTCCATGTTTTCTCTTCTGCAATGATCGGCATATAATATGCTTCTGCCCATGGATGTCCAAATTTGACATCGCATTTACAAGATTTTCATCATCACCATTTTGTGGTATCGTAGCTAAAATGCAACATGAGAACCACGTGAAAATTATATCTTAAAACGATGTAACTTCGTTTTAATATACGTACATGGAAAACTATAGCTTACTATATACGTGAGGCAAATATGACAATACATATACACGAGGGGTCGTTTTCAAGTTCGCGAAATAGGGGTTACCCACTAGCTGTGTATGTAAATCTTCGAAAAACATGCCTTTTACCCCCAAAAATTGAGCTGAAACTGTGTCTTTTACTTCTTACTGGATTACAAAGTGTTAGTAGTTAAATTACGGATTACAAAGTGGGTTGGTAAATGATAGTATACCTATGCCTATCTTACGCAGAGCAGCGCAACACAACACGTGCATTATCGTGCAGAAGAAGGACATCTTTTGTCAATTTTCCTCCTCTTTTCTTTAACTGCTCCAAGACCATAATGATATATTCCCCGGTTATCGAACGGCCTTTGTTCTTATAATTCATCAGTATTATTCCGTCTGCGTCCCAAAAAACTGTCGCCAAGACCTTTCTAGCCGACTGTGATACTAGAAACTTGAAAGGTGGTGTGCTTACTTAATGACACTGGCTGAAGGTCTGTTTAGATGCAGATTCATAAAAAGAAAACTAAAATTTCATTCAAAATAATGATTTGACTAAAAATGCCATCCTCGTCTTCACTGCAGAGAGTCAAGAGCGCAAGAAAACACATCACGCGCTGCTGTTTTAGTTGTGAGCATTCACGGACCCATCTTAACCTTAGATATGTCAAGATGATCATGAAGAATGTGAAAAATTGCTGTATCGGATACTGCAATGAATTTTTTATTGAATGAGTATTATATTTTTAAGTTTTTGAGTAATTTCCGTACCCGTTACGTCGATTGTTCCTGTTGGTCGTGGGTCGTTTTCAAGTCAGGCCCTGTCTTGTGTCTTGTGCCCGCCTTCAAGGAGACTGTGCCATTTGTAAACCATGGTTTTACCAGAGCAAGAGTTGAAAGGAATTTTCTTGCGGACTGTGTTGTTTGAATGTATTTAAATTAATAGTAAGGGGTTTAATAGGTACTCTCATTAATAAATCTACACTCCCATTCCACGAACTTAAAAACGTGCCCTCGTAAGTGCCTGAGAATATAAATAAACGGATCGTGTTGTGCAGAAATCCAAACCGTGAATTGGCCAACATTGACGTATTAAAAATAGTCAGTATTTATAACGAAACGAAAGCAATATATAGCAAACGATTGGTCTCCGGTAACCTCACCCTATCGGTGAATAGCAACCGGTTTCAGATTTTAGTGTTTCTGCACAGCACGGTTCTATTGGAAAGACGTACATATGAGCTACATGTATTACTTTAAATAAATATTAAAATAGTGTTCAATAAGTAGCTAAGTCTAAACGATAAGGCAATGTTACGGTCATCATTTGAGGTGATATAATGTGTGAATGGTGATGTATGGTAGTGATGGTATGAATGTAATGGATACTATAGAAATGGCTTACAAGGGTGGTCTGAAAAGTTTCCGCCCTAACAAAGATACAAGACCTTTTTTCAGTTTTTTTTTAACATAATCTCCTTGTAACTCTACACACTTCTCCCAGCGATGCTCCCATCTCTTTAACCCGTCCAAATAGTACTCGGCGTTTTACACTGCAAAATAATTGTTCACGAAGGTGATTGCCTCTTCATTTGACGAAAATCTCTGTCAATTTTTTCGCTTGGGGCTAGATCTGGTGAGTAAGGCGGATGGTCAAGCAGTTCAAACCGTAATTCGTGGATTTTCGCCATGGCAACCTATGAGGTGTGAGACAGAGCGTTGTCTTGGTGAAACAGGATTTTCTTTTTCTGCAAATGGGGCAGTTTTTTCACAAGTTCTGCTTTCAGCTTGTCAAGTAATGATGCGTAGTATGCTCCTGTAATGGTTTATCCTTTTAGAGATAATCGATCAAAATAACTCCATGACTATCCCAAAAAACAGTCGCCATCACTTTTCCAGTGGAAAAAACAGTTTTTGCCTTTTGGAGCCGGTTCTCTCTTTGCAGTCCACTGTTTTGACTGTATTTTTGTTTCGGGCGTGTAATGGTATATCCAAGTTTCATCTACAGTAATTAACGTATAATACAGATGCGCCTAAACTGCGCCAATAGAGCGTTGGAAATGTTAATTAGAACACGTTTTTGGTCTAACGTGAGCAAACGCGGCACCCAACGCGCGGTCAGCTTTCTCGTGGCTAAATGTTGATTTAATATGTGACAAACACGTTCTTTTGACAGGTTCATAACCTCTGCTATCTCTCTTACTTTAATTCGGCGGTCGTCTAGCACCATTTGGTGAACTTTGGCGATGTTTTCGTCGGTAGTTGTAGTTTTTGGACGTCCCGAACATTCATCATCACTCAAGCTACGGCTACGTTTAAATTCAGCTACCCAAAATTTCACTGTGGTAAATAATAGTGTAGAGTCCCCATACACAGAATCCAACTCATCTTTGATTTGCGTAGGCGTATTGCCATTCAAAAACAAATATTTAATGACAGCTCGATACTCGATTTTGTCCATTTTCATAAAAATAGTCACATTAACTCACTCAAACGACTGTTACATAACAACTGCGCGTCCAAAATGGCTGAAACTTTGGCAAGTAACTGTCAACAGATGAATAACGAAATTCACTAGCTTTTATTCACGAGTGTTGCTATCTTCTTGCTAAGGTCGGAAACTTTTCAGAACACCTGTGTATATGATATTTTACATCACAAGACTTGAGATGGTCAAGGAAGATATAACATGATCACATAATATAACGTAATTGATAACTGACGAAACCGGCTGTTACAAAATACAAAATGAAAATGCAATAACAAAAATATGCAATGATAATACAAAAATAAATAAAAAGAAAAACTTACGTTTTTAAGAAGCACGCATAAACTAATTCCCAAAATACACTAGCACTTAAAAAAAAGCTGCATCGCACTAACACATATTTATTGTGTTTAGTTTACTGAACCTTTTGAAATATGTTTAAATATCAGTTCTTAACGAAAGGTGGTCCCTTCTCGTAATAGAATCGGAGCGCATTGAAAATAGTTTAAAATAGTAATTGTTTGTTATACTAATTAAAAAATTCAACCTATTAATAAAATTCCAGTCTCAGAGTAACTTATAAAAGTTTAATGCAACATAAAAAATAACCAAGCTTCATAAGACAGCAAAATGACAATGACAGACAGCAAATTTTTACGCATAACTGCAGAATTTATATGTCAAGTAATACCTAATGGTCTATATCGAGAACGTGCGCATTCATCTAATATACTCGTACGGCGTATTTCTGAAGAAATATCACGATAGCATACATTGATTTGCTTATTCTGTCCGTCTGTCAATTCTTCTGGATCATTTTCATCACTATCTATATCTGTCCAGTCTGTATCGCCATCATCATAGATGGAACTTGGAGTGTATTGATCACGTACAAAATTAATTTGGATTTTAAGTGGTAGGTTAGCGTTAAAGTCTTTTAAATTAATGTTATTAATCAATTCACTGTTTCTTTTATTGTCTTCTTCATCTTCCTCCATTTGTATTATGACGAAATCCTTGTGATGGCTGACAGAATAAAATGATGGCATAATTTTTGGTCTAGGCATGTAATTATTACTTGTGGTACCGTCCAATCTAGGTTGATCATTATCCTCATTAAGACGGTCACGAGCCAGAATCAGTGTCACTTCTTGGTCTTCAAGATTAAACGGTTCCTCTGGTACTTCAATTTTCAGACAATAATCTGTAGATCTACCTTGGGGTTCTGAAAAATGTCCAGCCGATGTTGTAACTTTAAGGAGTTGCAATTTTGCAGATATTCCCTCGTTAACTCGTTTAATTTCCTAAATCACATAATGGCTATTAAATAAAAACCTCTCATTAAATTAACAAGTCACTGACGAATACTTAGATATTAATTCAAGTTAATAAATAAATCCTGAAATATTAACACTGTGAATGAAATTTTAACCTTTAACCATCAGACAGTTTGCATGGTTTTTCTATAATCGTTATCTGTGGCTTAATAAGATGTTTTATGATAGTATGAAAATATAAAGAATTTTTCCAATAGGGTCTTCCAATTGGTTTAGTTCTGAATATTTTTAAACATTTTAATGTTAACTAAAGTATTTAGAAGAAAAATAAGGACCTGTCTAGTCGAGTCGTAACAATTCTATCTTCCAGACTTTTCAATTTGACCAAAAATATCTACGTCTATTTTAAACATGTGACGTTTTAGTTTAATATGTAGGTGATGAAATTAAAAAACAAAGTTGTTGTTTTCAAGTTTAAGCAACACATAAAATAATCAACTAAACAATGAAAGTAAAAGAAAAAGAAACTCGTGGTTTAATGCTGTTGATACTTAAGACAATATAATTGATCTATAGCTGAAATATAGTCGAAGTGGGCAATAAGACGTCAATACCACATCTGTTGAAGATTTGAAATATGCAACAACAAACTATCGGGTAGCGGAAAATCTATACTTCCAATAAACTTCCACTTCTGCTTGTAGGTAAACCAATAAGCTTGACTCACCAACTGGAAAAGGAGCGCTGTTGCCGCTGCCAGGCATATCTATGGAGACATAGAAGAAATCTTCTGGGTTCATAAGCTCCAGAAGTGGCTGAAAGGTCGTCGCGCAGTCCTGGCGTCCGTGAGCAAGGAACACTGGAGGCGCCCGGGGATTTCCCCAAGAGGTTACTAGAGAACAAAATATTTATTGAGGATGCATTTGATAATTCAATTATGAGTATTAATATAGTTGAAACGAATTGAACCTGCTATGACTTGACTATCGCATATTGTCGCTTAAAATTATTGAAGATCTGAGGGCTTAGTGTGAGTTTCTTTCACATCGACTCGATAAGTGCGTTTGGCGTTGTGATTGGTAAAGATTTCAGTGCGGGCCAATCGCAAAACGAACGCGGTCACCGTGACGATCGAGTAGAAGTGAAATAAACTTACAATAAGCTCTCTGATGTGATTTGGTTCTTTCGTAATGTAAGGACGGAATTTACAAAATGATTTAGGGTAAATGGTCTTAAATTTTCACGTTAAAATGGTACGAATACGAACGAGTACAGATGCCTCACTTAGCAAAAACCTTTAAGTAAATAGCGACCCTTGATCCACAACAATAGATTGCATTTCAGACAGCCCGGCGTCAATCATCTGCAGTTAAGCTAACATCGATCGATGTTTAGTTTGAAAATTGTTGTGAATTTTTGATTGGGCTATTAGTCCAGTGGCTAATGAGTCTGACTGCTTAGCGGATCGCACGGATCTGGATTCTATACCCACAAAGATTACATGATTAGTACATAAGCCTTTTGAGTAAACACCACAGACTACTTTAAAAATATGTTATCACAGGTCCCTCAGCTCCGTTTTAGTAACCGTTCGGTACACTCTATAGTAATAATTACCATTATCCTAAAAGTTTAAGTGATTTTAGTGAAGAACAAGCATTCCACCTCGAGATTTTTACCTAGAAACTAGGATGCCCACATGATGCTATTGCCCTTGTGTTATAGTTTAGTAAGAATTAACAAACGGCAAAACGCGGCACGTGAGTATTGCACTAGCATGCGACCCGGGCCTCAATTCTGCTATTTTATGTTTACGCCAAGCCAGTGTCATACCACTAACACGCTATTGAGATGCCATCGAGTGGCCATTGGCATTGGCATTTTTTAATAATTTATTTATTGATTTTAATAATTTATTTATTTCTTTTTTTTAAATTTTTTTTTAAATAAGTTATTTTAATTTATTTATTTCTTTTAATAATTTATTACAATAAAAACAAATAAATATTTTCCTCAAAAAACGTAATATATTTTCAACTACCGATATTTATACCGATGCCAATGGCCACTCGATGGCATCAGTATAAATAAGTATACTAGCGTGTCAGTGGTATGACACTGGCTTGGCGTGAACATAAAATAGCAGAATTGAGGCCCAGGTGTGTAACAGCATACTGAATTAGTCAACCGCAGTGCAGACTCATACCTAAAGTACGGATTAGTCCTGGCCCGATTTTGGTTTAATTATAAAAAGTGTGCTGTTTAACGACGTGGTCAGTACGACCTAAACAAATTATTACGGTATTTTGACAGTGTTGTTACAAATGAGTATCCCAGTATTTTGCGTGTTGGAAAAATTGTTTTCCCGCGATTCAGTTTGTAGAAATCTCTACACTGCTGCTTACTTTTGTAAGTCTTCCAATAAACAATCTAGAAAACACTACTTCAATTATAAATATAATTTAAAAAAAAACAAATGCCGTCATTTTCTAGGAAGAAAGCATGTCCATACAAAAACAGCGTATTCAAAAGTGAATTCAGATCTTTTTATTAAGTTTAACATTTTAATCGATGCAATATCATCAATATAATCAGATTCGAACATTTCATGTGTATACCCTGCTTGGAAAGGCCTCGATAAAAGCACCAGCGACCGGCGAGCGTGTATCATTTTGTTTTCTTTTTATAAAATTTTCGGACATCCGACACACAACGCCATCTAGTTTCAAACTAAGCAGAGCTTGTACCATGATAACTAGATTGACTAACAGAATAATTATATATTTAGTTTTTTCTTTTAGAAATACATACATATTATACATAGAAAACACCCAAACTCCGAAACAAATATATATGTATTTATGTAAGTATATTTGTATTTATATCAGTTGTTTAGTACCCATAGTACAAGTTCTGCTTATTTTGGGACTAGATGGCGTTGTCTGATGTGGTAGAATATTATTATTACTTGATTGTATGAAACATGGAAATAAGACTCTTATCACCTAATTCGTCAGGGTTGTTTTCAAAATATGAACGAAAAATCTCCCCGAAAAGAGCATAATTAAGATATTTATTAATTTCTCCAGTTAGATTATTTCTATGATCTGTTCTCTATTCGAAAACTAACGAATCAAACGATCCATAAGCCTATTACAGACCACAGGCATCTACCGATGCCCGTATTGTTCCCTGAAAATTAATACCTCGAAAACAAAAATAGTGGAACAAAATGAAAGTAAACAAAACAAGAAGAAAAAATACATTTTTATTATAAATTTAATAAATTAAATAACAAAATATTCTTATAAACATACGTAACACAAAAAAATTAAAGGCAAATTTAAGAAACTAAAAATTATTATCAAAAAAAAAAGTACAATAATATTTCTTTCGGATCGTAAACATGTATGTATCATCGGCAATGATATTCTTTAGTACCTAAGTAGTACGCGACCACACAAGCTAAATTCCCCGACTCTCTCTTTCACGTCAAAACTGTCCCATGTTGTTCCTGCAGGTGACAGATCCTTCCAACTCCCAAGGTCCTCTCATCACCATGTCCCAGCTACCGGGTCTAACTAAGTGAGATCCATACCGTTGAAAGCAAGTTGTCCCGAACCATGACTCAATGCTAATGGCGGCGGTGATGACAGCGGGGATGACTGCTGAAGATGCGGTGACAGCTGGCGATCTGCGATAAAACGACACGGGGTGGTGAATGAATATGAACGATTAGTGACGTATTATACCATAGTGACAAGTTAAAAAGCGACCTTTTTACCCGAGAGCGGTAAAGCCCAAAATGAAGTTACTGGTTTGACTTTTATGTAATTTTGGCTAATGGGTTGCAGATGTCCAGGGGCAGGGATCGGCCTCAATTCTGCTATTTTATGTTTACGCCAAGCCAGTGTCATACCAATGACACGCTATTGAGATGCCATCGAGTGGCCATTGGCATCGGTATAAATATCGGTAGTTGAAAATATAAATATTACGTTTTTTAAGGAAATGATTTATTTGTTTTAAAATTATTAAAAGAAATTATTAAAATTAAAATAAATTATTAAAAGAAATAAATAATTTAAAAAAAATTATTAAAAGAAATAAATAATTTAAAATAAATTATTAAAAAAAAAAATTAGAAAAAAAGAAATAAATAAATTATTAAAATAAAAAACATCTTAAAATAAAAAAATGTTAAAATAAAAAATATTAAAATAAATAAATCATTCAAATAAATCTGCGAGCTTGTGCGTTTGCGTATGTTCGTGTGTTGACGGATTAAGAATACGGAGTGTTAACACCCCGATTCATCCCGTGGGTGTCGTAGGAGCCGACTAAGAGAGCAAGGTTTGCACTATAACAGCACTGCAAAGAGGAGGAAAACAACACAAATCCTACCAACCCGTTTGATCAGGTATAGTGGGCAAAAACATCCTTTCTAATGAGAGGCCTATGTCCAGTAGTGGACTATTAAAGGCTGATGATGATGATTGCGTGCTATTAGCACTTTTGAGAATGTTTAAATATAAAGGTGTATCAAAAACTGACAATATACTAACCTACTGAGTTATTGCTTACTTCTTAATCCATCATAACGCCAACCATCTTAGACGGCCGCATGGCGTAGTGGTGGTGTGTAACAGACTTCTAAGCCAAAGGTCGCGGGCTCGATTCCCGCTCAAGTCAAACATTTGTATTCATTACCATTGTTTGATTTGGTCTAAGTGGTTCTGTATAATATGTATGTATTTACAAAAAAAAAATTGAACAACATTGAACTGAAAACTTCTTTAGGCGCGTTGGGCATTTTTGAACAAGAATGTATTTTATGGGAAAAAACAATTGAACTCGCGACACTGTTACAGTTACCGACACCTCTGTATATAAATTTTCACTTCCGCTTAGCAGTAAGGGTCACTACGCACTAGACCAACAGGCCCGTCAAACAGATCAAATATTGACTGATAGAATACCTATACATGACATATACTTTTTTGTGTAAATACATACACAGAAATCACATAAACTCCGAAACAAATATTTTGATAGATCATACAAACATTTGGTCCGACCCGGGAATCGAACTCGAGACCTCAGCACAGCAATCGCATACACTACCACTGCACCACTGAGGCAGAAATGTATGTATGTATGTATGTTTCTTTTTAGCGCAAAAGGGCTAAATGGTTGGGTAATTGGGAAGTGTAGATATGACACTGAGATAGAATGACACTGGGTATATAAATTAAACGATACTAATTAAAATCAGCGTCGAAAATTTAAAGTACAAATATTCACACAGTCTGGGTTTATTTATTTATTTATACATCACGCATTTTTGGTGCATTGGCAGACTTAATGCCTAAGGCATTCTCTACCATTCAACCTTTGGGTGATGCAGAGAGAACAGGAAGTAGGTGCATTTTGCTTAAGTTTGAAAGTAGTTATAACATCATATCATACACTTCAACCCATACACATTATACATATGTACATACATATACTTAAATACATATAAACTTACATAAATACCTAAATAAATACCATTAATAATAGTAGATAACAATTATACTCGTACGTCAGTTGATTCTGCCAGTTGTTTTACAAAACACTGTTTATTATGTGGTTTTTTTATGGTATAAGGGGGCAAACGATCAGACGGGTCACCTGATGGTAAGCAACATGGACACCTGCAACTCAAAAGCCACAAGTGCGTTGCTACCCTTGGAGTCCCATCTTACTTCAAAACTGACAAATTAAGTTGAAACACAAGAGCTAAAAGAATAGTCAAATTTAACGATGAGTATGAACTAAGCGTATTGACAAACAAAGAGGTTGATAGAATGATTTATTTTTAAGAAAAATGTTTGTTAAAAAATTTAAAATCAATAACATTCAGGTATCAATAATATCTCTTTTTTGGTAACATATAAACCCTTGTCAAACAAACCTGAACTTAATAGCTCAATATAATATTAGGTTTCAGTTACTTATAGCCAGGCGTGAAAATTCACAGACATTAAGGTAAATTTTAATAAAATGTCACTGCTTTGTCTTTCGAGATATTTCTCCATGTCGACGTCCAACATGTTACGATTCGCGCCGCCATTTATCGATCTGCCGCCATGACAGTCGTAATATCTTACAATTTATATCAAGAATGATTTGACGTTAGCGAATAACTTTGACTAGCTCTGATCCACTTAATAATATTATATATATTTCAATATATTCGAAATCGGATACAAAAAGAAGGAATTACAAAGGTCCGAATTTGAACCAAGATCCAGACAATAAAAATAATACCAAAGGAAAAACCTTGATTAATGAACTATTTAAAAAAAAATTAGTTTGACTTTTTTTTTACTAGCGCCATCTGCGCCGTCTGTACAATACGTTTATAAAATATACCATATAAATATAAGAACACGGTAACAAAGTGCAAACTGCAGATCTCCCACCCTGTTCAGTCTACCACCCTCACCCTCCTTTACAGGTAGGGCGGGCGCGTCGTAGGTTGGCATGGCAACAGCCTGAAATCCCGGACGCAGCCCACTCGAAGGGGTGGGCGTGGGGTGGCTTGTTTTTTAATTAGTCTTGCGTGGCCCCTGGATGCAGCTAAATTTAGAATTAATAAATCGCACATAATACATATGCCACTGGTTTTATTTTGTTTAGTAGTAGAAAGAAAACATAACCAATGGCATTTTTTTAAATTTTTATTTGATTAAATTTTGTCCATAGACAATATACATAACACAATAATTACTTTTTAATAAAATGAAACAATATAGGCATCTAGATATTGTAATATTTTTCTATTCTTTTTTATTTGGTAAAGATTAAATAAATTTGTTTTTTTAAACATACATGTTTTAAGTAGCTTAAGTTTTTAATTTATTAGCATTGGAATTGCAAGTAGGTATTAATTTTGGAATCAAATCTCAAAATTAAGATATTAAGCATTAATATATTGATTATGATGGTAATCATAGGATATTATGCATTGAATGCTGACCAAAGGCAGGAACAAAGAAATTTGGTTTTAAAGATCTTGTAATAATATTTGAGACATTATAAACATGGCCGTCTGACCTCAAATTAGACAGAACCTGTTTCGCTATATCTGTTCTGGCGATGAACACTTATATATTCTAAATAGAAATCCATATTGCAGACAAATTATACCCAGGGCGGGCGGAACTTAACTTATAAAGCTCCAATCTATGGCACAAATAATATCAATGGCGCGCTGAGCTCATGCGTTAGCAAGTACTAGACGACAAGAATCAAGTAGGCACTGAGCTATATTTGATGATTATCATTATTTAATGGCTACAGGTGCTCGGATAATACCTGCTGATTTCATAAATTAGCAGGATTGCAGGGATTAGGTCAAATTACTCAGGCTAGGGCAATCAGAGTGCGAGTCAAGCACAACACGCAGACAACCCCAATATTCACACTTATAATTCTATTATGTGGGAAATGTAATCATATTAAATATATTTTTATTATTCAATTGTTTCTAATGACTTATTTAATTTCTGTCATTAAGTAAGTCTAAAAATATATTGTCCTTTTTTATAATACATACATAATAAATAGATAATTTTCCTGGACAATATATTTTATTTCTAACCAAGAAATAATCATCTGGTAAAAGCTGGAATTCTTCTAAAATGACATGAAGAAAAATAATTAAATAATTACATTCGCATGATTAAAAAGCCATTTTTTTTTAAATAATAAAAATGAAAGGAACCTTAAAACTGTAATATGAATTCCTAGTCTCTTGAAAATGTTAGCACAGGTGATCACTTACCTTGAGATGGACAGCATGCTTGTTTAAACATAGTTGCATACAAAAGATTTAGAAAAAAAAATATCTTCGCTTCTTCGATAGATAAATCAAAAATTAAAAATAAAATGGTGACAAGGTCTATAATACAAACTTGAAACAAAACATTGAATATCCTTTATGATAGAATGAGAGATTGAATTCAACGGGGGATGAAGTGACACCCCCTCTCCCTGCAAGAACGGGTCAATCAATACTGCATCCGTAATAATTTGCAAAAAAAAAAAATTTAAAAACTTACGTGAAAGCTCTCCCCATGGAGCTTGTATCTGCCACTCACATTTCGGTGAACACTTCATTTTTTTCTTAATTTTATCCAAAACAGGACATATGTCTTCACTGATCGAACTTTAGAACTAGACTGACTGAGTGAGATGGACCAAAACTGTTTTCTATAGCAAATCTAGGTTCTCATTGCAAACCTATCTATCAAAATATATCGATTTAGTTCGTAATTGGAAACAAAATATAGAAATCGGAATATAAATTAACAGAGGCTAACTAATTAATTCAATCAATTCGCTATCTTTGAATAACCTTTGGATATTAATGTAGAAATCTGTGTTAAGAATAATCAGTCTGTATTATTGTTTCCGTCATAGCCTATATGACATGTTTACAATGTAAGTTGATAACGTTGCATTTGTAGCACTGTATAGAGCTGTCTCGTTTTAATATCAAATGTCAGAAAAGGAAAGCAGAACTGATGTCAGACATTAAGGCCAAACACGGTGTTTTATTATCATGCGCTATATTGACAGCTATTTACCTGTTGATAAAGTAGTGTTGTAACGCTTGATACTCGTTCTACGGAGGTATTAGATATGAACTCTGATTTTCTTTTCGGTTTTATAGAAATGTTAAAAATAAAACTTCAGTATCAATTCTATATTTATTTTATAATTTTGATCTTTTATGAAGGCCTGACCCATTTAAAAATTGTACAATATGTGGAACAATAAGTTCAGGATTAGTAATGTGTACATCGTGGCCGCCGCTGACAGTAATTGATGACCAATTAGGTTGCATTAAGCGGCATTTTGCTATAATATCATCTGCAAACTTCTTGGCTTCAACGTCACTTTTATTATCTGAAGCTTCTATTATGAGCACAGGTGGCGAATGTTCTGTGATGACAGTGTAAAGAGTTTCTTCAGAAAGTGGTACGGTTGGCATTTTTTTCATTCTGGGCTCCCATGACATTCTGTAAAGGTGAATTTTAGAAAGTATTAATATTACAAAGCTAAATTAAATCAGAACTAAATTATTTTCAAAATCGTTGATTAAGTTAACATATCCACAAATACTAGGGGTGTAGTTAATTTGTTAAAGATAAAAAGAAAGAGTCTTGATCCACCTCTATATACTTAAACTTCTATATTTGTTTACCAACTTAACAAGCAAAATATAGTAAAAATAATAAATTAAAAATTTTTACACAAAAAATGAACATGAAAAAATTGCGTACTACCAAAAGTTTTACCAGAGCTTTTCTTTGACTATTTCTTACGAAGCCATTACCTCTAAATACAATTATTGTTATTTTGCGCTAATAATAAATAAAAAGCATTTAAAATAATCACCTGAATTTATCATCACCAATTCGTATTAAGGATCTGGACAATACAACTTCAGCTTGCTCCTCTGTTAAGCTCCTATTTCGTACCATCAGATTTATAGCTTCGTCAATAGTTAATTCTCTTGAAGTGCCATTAATCCAGCTGCAATAATTTACAAAAAAAATATATTAATTTTTTTTTTGTTGATGCGGAGGAAACAAGGGGAAGGTGCATTTAGGGTTGTGGCGACTCCCACATAAACATACTACAGCGCCATCTAAGGAAGACACATCGAACTACGGAGTAACTACTAAAATAAGAAGAAATGGTAGATACAAAGAACATGAAGATTTACCTGTCATAATTGTTATAAGAGGAGTCATAAAAATACATGTACCAGTACAAAGGTCTAAAATGTGAATAGTAGTACGTAGATAACGTCGGTGCCGGGTCTAAGTGTACCATCTTGATCAGTTTACCCGGGTAAAAATGATTGTAGAAAGTACCTAGAAAACAAATATATTTAATGAAAAGCAAACACGTGGGAATTTAACGTAAATGTTGACGGTAGAAAACGATTTAAACATTTCTAAAACTATCTAATTTTACTAGACAAATGCCTACTTTAAAATTCATAATATGGTAAAGCTTTTCGATTAAAAATTAGTAAAACAGACTATTCAATGAGGCTTTTTCTGATTAATTTCATGGTATTTTCGTATTCTGCCGGCAATTCTTAAAAAAACCGTTTATAAAAGACATCAGTTATTAACGTGGAAAGCTATGTAGATATGTTTTTGCTTTAAATTTTAATCACAGACAGGATTTGAATATTTAGTTTATCATTTTCTGTCTTAGTTATGCTTATGTCAAACAGCGATTGTCAATTCATCCCACTTTCTTCTACGACATAGGGGGCAAACAAGCAGGCTGACCACCTGGTGGTAAGTGACTACGTTACGCCACTGCCCATGGAAACCTGCAATTTAAGAATCACTCTTTTCCTGAAGGCTTGAATCTGAAAATACCACAGGCGAAAATTTGTTCCACAAATTACTTGTACAAAGCAAAAAATTCGTAGATAGTGGCAGGCATAGTGGTATAAAGCTAAGAAGCCAAGTGACGAGACCGCAATTTTATCACGTTTACAAAAAGCGAAGCACATGAGTATAATTATTAGATTAATATATAGAAGCACATAAAAAGCCTTTAATAGTCCACTGCTGGACATAAGCCTCTTCTCAGAAAGGAGGCTTTGGCCTACTATACGCCGCTGGCCAGACGGGTTGGTATAGGATTTGTTTCAAGTTTTCTCTTTTTTCTTTTCAACTCTTTGCAGTGCTGTTGTCCAGCGTAATTTGCTCCCTTAGTCGGCTCTTACGACACCCACGGGATGAATAGGGGTGATGACATTACGTATTCTTACACACGGACTAGACATAAGATTTCAGGGATTATCAATAAAAGTTCTTACCATCAAAAAATCCCCTGGAATGACTTATACAAGCGAATGAATTCCATTTCATGTGCTCTACTACACCACGCACGACTTCCGTACCGCATAAATGCGACACAAGTATTCCCGGCGGATAGGGATCTGACTTTCCATGACCTATAGAGAACAATGAGTTATGACACACATCAATTTGTTTTTTTTTTCTAAAATGAAATAATATAATTAATCAAATAAAAATTAAAATGAAGTGTATTATTCTTAAACGTTAGGACAATTGTCATGCACATGAAGTTAGGTATACTGTCTTAAACAAGGGGATTAATAATCTATTAACGCTGATTCTATCTTACCGGGTAAATCAAGCCCAACATAGTAATAAGTGTCAGGGAGTAATTCTAATAAAGCTATAAAAGTTGCTGCGCTGTCCATGTACCCGTGCAATAGAAGTATTGGTGGTTTTTCTGGATTGCCATAGGAAACCACTGAAAGTAAATAAGATTTAATTAGCAAACTTGACCTATTGCGTACAACTTTAAAGAATATTTTTAAGCTAGTTGACAGTTTCAACTACCAGATTATTTTACGATACGTATTCCACAGATAATAAAATATTATAGCAGATACCTGGATTAAATACCATGCAATTTGCCACAACACTAGTGCTCGTATGAAGTATCGTTCAGAAATCTACTTTAAGGACTTTCCATAAAGCTTATTTTACATTACAGTTAGGGTTACGACATTTTTTTATTATACATATTTTTATTTTACCTGTATGTTGAAGCGTGCTCAGAGTTAGCCAAATTAAAATGTTGACCTTTGGCCTTGATGATAAATGACATGCATCTTTTTTTATCAGGTTCCCTCATAATTACAGGTTATTATGTTATTTTTATACTAGTCAAAGTTCAATTTAGTCATAATTCTAAAACTATGGTAAATACGTTCATAGAGTGAAACCGTCAAATGTCGGCCGTTAGATTATTAATATGGGTACTCTAAGTGTCAGCTATTACAGCTATTTGGGACACAGTTGCCGATATTATAGTGTTACACTAATTATTTTACAAATCAGAGCACAGCGGGCGGCCATATTGTTAAAAGCGATTTCTAAAGGCACGCATAGCTTATTTTGCCTGACGAAACATTTATGATGAACGTAGAATTAATTACAGCCTGTTTTGTATATGATCCCATTGATATCTTTACTAATATTATAAATGCGAAAGTAAGTAAGAAATAGTAAAGTCTGTCTGTCTGTGACGCTTTCAAAGATAAACTGCTGAACCGATTTTGATGATATTTGGCATGGAGATACTTTGATTCTTATGGAAGGACTGGGACTGTGGGAGGGTAATAAATCTATAAACTTACAAGTATCTTCAATATTCCACGATAATAACATTTTGTGCGATCAAAAAAATTCAAGTATTAAATAAAAAAGTGCGCTATCTTCGCTATCGGTGATGAACAAAAAATGGGCACAGAGCTAATGAACGTCTTCATGGTCATCAGCAAATCGCAGTCCCATTGCACAATTATTTGTCCTGGGTGGGAATTGAATTGCCTCCGGCTTAGCAGCCAGGGTCACTAACTATTTGAGGGCCAAGTGTGAATTTATTTTACATTGACTCGACCGTCACGGTGATCGAGTTCGGCGTTGCGATTGGCCTACACTGAAATCTCCACCAGTTGGTGTGTCCACACAAAGCGACTCGCATCCTGGACACGCTAGCAGATTCATCACAACCTTGAAATTTTATATATTATTGATTTTTAGGCTTATGTATGTATGTTGCTATATAAGTATTTGTGTATGTGTATGTTTTTGGTACGTATGAATGTATGTATATTTATCGCATTACTTCTGCCCAAATTATCAATCATTTTCTTTTACTTCTCCTATTAATGTCTAGTGCACCTAGCCACACATTTCAGCACCACCCTAAGGTAGACTGGGAGAAAATGCCTATGGCATTAAGTCCGCCATTGTACAACTTGTGCATAAAGAATAAATAAAATAAAATAAAAATGTCGGTTTTTGGAACGAAGTTCCTTATCGCGCGTTGTGAAAAGACAGCTAGACGGCAAAAAAAACTCACGAAAAGTTGTAACGACACTTTTTATTTTGAATTGTCACTTGTCAGTCATTCAGCGCCATCTATCGAATAGATAGGAAATCATTACTTTTCATCTCAGTAAAATTAAAATTTATGTTCTTAAAAATATTGTATTCGACATCATTTCTCAAGGAGATTTTACCAATGTATAAATTGTTTGAATTAAAAACCAACTGAAAAATAAGTAGGTAATAGCCGCTTTCATAGATGGCGTTGTAATTAAAATCGTGTCGAATCAGTTTTACTCGATCGTCACAACTTCGTTCCTATCGGGTGTCCCACGACACCACACGGCTTTTTTTGTTTTGGCTTTTTACAGCCAGTTCCAGTTACAGGTACGCGACTTTGTCCTATTCGAAATATTGTTTACACTTCCTAATATATCTTTATAAGCAACCCTTGTGACTACTGAATTGCCGCTTTTAGAGCCTCTTCCCCCTAGAATTGTGGAAGGGGGGAGGATGTTTGATGCTCCGTGATAACATCACTTTTTTTTCCCCGCATTAGGAATATATCGGTGCAAAATAATGAAAGAATTAGTTAACACCGATTTTCTGAGAAGCTGTGATATCACTCCTGTTGACCATACGATAAGCACTGGTGAGTGCCTGCTGGTTTAGTGGTTGGTGGCCCTGACTGGTGACCCGGGACGAATACTTGTGTGATGAGCACTATCATTTGTGTCTATTTTTAACCCCTGACAGAAAACGAGGGGTGGTATAAGTTTAACCTGTGTGTCTGTGTATCTGTCTGTCTGTGGTACATAACTCCCGAACGGATGGACTAATTTCTATGCGGATTTTTTTGTTTGAAAGCCGTTGTGATCGAGATGGCTCTTAGCTATAAATTTTGAAGATCATCAGATCATCAGCTGAGACCCGCGGTGTTACCCGCGTTTGTTGTTAAAACCGCGGGCAACGCCGCGGGGAGAAGCTAGTCTAAAAAAGTAGCCTAAGTTACTCCTTATGTCATTAGCTATCTGCCAGTGGAAGTCCCGTCGAAATCGGTCCAGCCGTTCCAGAGATTACCCGGAACAAACAGACAGACAGACAAAAATTGTAAAATATAATATTTTCGCATATGTACCGTGTAAACATACATATGCATTTAGTAAAAAGCGGTTATTTTAATATTACAAACAGACACTCCAATTTTATTTATTTGTATAGAGTATAGATATTCATTGTCATAAAAACAAAAATCGAGAGAAAAAAAAAACATAATTACCTATTGTTTTGTTTAACTTTTTCTCCACAGATTGGTAAGTCGAGGCAAAAAGTGTCTTGAAAAGCGCACAGTGATGGAGCGCCAATTTTCCAAGACTTAAATCTAGTTTATAATTTTAAAGGTACTTACTTGCAACTTTGCCCCAAGGAAAACTTATACTCCATTCTCTTATATCCTTTTTCATTTTTTCACAAATATCAATGAATTTATATTAATTTCGACTTCCTAAACTAACTCTATATAAAGAAATTATTCAGACCTGACAACAAAATAATTATTGACAGTATTAATTCTTTCAAATGCTATTCGATAAAGCATTAGACTTTCAATTTTATGTGTCTGATAACCTAATTTGAATTTAAGTTTTAGACACAATATATAAACAATTATCTTTTACAGATAAAATCGAGTGAACACGTGTAGCGTATTCTGAATTATACTATTGTCAGCTGACTAGTGACTACTACTGAGTAATGAGTAATATGAGTATGAGTGAACTCGGCGACAACGAACGGGCGAAAGAATGGTGCTTTCATCGTTCGGATTGTTTTCGTTAGATGGCGGGCACATAAAAGTCGATACAAAGTGGAACTAGTTCGATTACTTCGATTGATTTTAGGAACTTCCATTATTCGATTAGTTTTGACTAGACTGCATAAGGTTTATCGTAATACATGTTGGTCTCAACAAGTAGGTAAGACTTAACACGGAGAATGTAAAACATTCAATTAAAACCACAATGCAATTCTTGTCAACAATCGTCTTCCTAAATGTTTATTTTTATTCAATATTTGCCTAAAATATCGCAAAAGTAGCCATTTATTACTGATACTAATCATTGTATTGTTTTTAACTATTGAAGTGCACACTGCATAATAATACTGTAGAACGAATTTCTTACTTCCAAGAAGTTTAATAGCACCCTCTCTTGTACAGTAGTAGAATTACTAAAGTAACTTCTAGGTCTACTAGTGCTTAAGAGATTTCCGAAACAGTTACCTGGTAACAGCCGATAGATGGCAGTGTTTAAAAATGAAAAATAGGGTTTCCGGGGGCTCCGATCCGAGAAAGAAATATTTAGAATCATGTCTTGTAAAGGTGAATTTCTATTGTGTGTGTCATCTCGGGCTACTAACCGGTCATAGAAGGCGTCTAGTTGCCAGAAATTATTATTCAAATTTATTTGTTTAAATAACTAGTTAGTTGTAGATACTAAGTGAGAGAAAGTTTCTATGTATAATAAGTATGTATTTACAAAAAAAGTATATAGTGTATTTATATCAGTTATCTAGTAGGCATAGTACAACATTGTAAGTATTTTATCAATGTAGTACAAGCTCTGCTTAGTTTGGGACAAGATGGCGTTGTGTAAATGTAGTAGAATATTATGTGGTGTAGAGTAGTTCAAAATCGCCTCAAGGAGACAGTGTCAAGAATATCCGTATTTATAATGTAAGGAAAGTCAAAACAAATGATCACATAACTCGTTTTAAATCAGATTATACCTACAAAGTTCATTGTTCTTGTGGCATCGGTCTGTGGGTGAACAACCTCCAACACAAATACCACAATCATAGATATTAGGTAAAAATGAAACGTCATTTACATAATACTTTGGTTTGTATAGATACTGATTATGTTTATTTGATAATGTATATTTTTATTTACCTTCTAAGCGTTCGTAATGAAGTGTAACTTCTTGGCTCACCTACCACCACAGGATTCTTGCGGTGGTAGTAAACAAAACTAAATACTACTGTTATTATTTTTATATTAATTAAAAAAATACGAATAAAATTAAATAGGTAGTAAAAACGTAATACTTTAGAAGATCAAGTAGGTACCTTGTCACCTTTGGTAATGTGTTCGTCTCGTTCAATAGAAATGAGTGTGTGTCAGCTCCGACGCACGACTGGAGTTTACTGCTTAAGAATGATTCTGCTGCAGACAAGTATACGAGCTAAACACACACATGTGAAAAGTGCGCACGATAGGTTGCGCACAAAAAACGTAACGAGGTCATTCGATCACTAAATTTTACTCTTTTTATTTTTGTCATACCGGGCGCCTTATATGAACATCGATTCTTAAGGAGTCACACATCATCATCATCAACAGCCTTTACTAGTCCACTGCTGGACATAGGCCTCTCCTTAGGAAGGAGGTCTTAAGGTAAAATAATAACATTTTAACCTTTTTACAATTCCTTTTAATAGCTAAAGTAGGTGAATATCTACATGGTCCGCGCGACAGGTTAGTGCAGTCGTTGCTCGAGGTAAGTAAAGTGTTGGCGTAGTGGTTTAAGCGGTCGCCACGCCGCGCCGCTCACTACTGCGCTGTGTTGTGGGTCCAATCCCCACATAGGACGACACTTTGTGTGATCCACAAATTGTTGTTCTGAGCCTGGGTGTTCTCTGTGTTCGTTTCATGTATGTTTGTAAAGTCCCCCGAGACACAGGATATATTCCTAATGCGGGAGTTGTCTTAAAAAAAAAACATAAAAGCAAAGAGCGGGAGGCAGCTTCTCGCATTCCTGAACTCTGCCATATGTGTGATTTTACATAGTAATTTGACTCTGCATTTGTAATCGCGTTAAAAGTTTCAAACTATGTATACTTCGTATAATATTTTAAATTGACTGTAATATTTACAAAAACTATGTACCTACTCCTACTCTGAGACTAAAGATAGATACTTATATTTCTTCCATTAATCTATCGGGAAACCATAAGAACAGCTTTGAACTTAAACTAATAAACAGTTTAATTTACTGAAACAAGAATTCCCTAAATCAGAACTGGACTGTATTTGAGTTTCTTGCACGAAGAAACAAAAACAAATATTTTGGAAGTATTATGTTACCACAGATTACAGAAGTGTTTGTAATGGTTCGATATGTTTCATTCAGTCGACATTTTGATATTTGCAATCCTTGCTTCGTGAGCGAACCAAAAAAAAATATGATAAAAAGTAGACTCCGTTATACATTTTTAAGGCGTTTTTAAATTGTGTGTAACTCAGTTTCTTGCTTTCCAACGAATTAAGTACAATAGATACTAATATTTAACAAAAAGTGTGTGTGTCAGTTCCGACACACGACTGGAGTATACTGCTTAAGAATGATTCTGCTGCACACAATTATACAACCTAAACACACATATGTGAAACGCACGCACGCACGATAGGTTGTGCAGAAAAAACGTAATGAGGTCATTCGATCACAAAATTTTACTCTTCATATTTTTTTCTTACCACACTCTTATATGAAAATCGATTCTTAAGGAGTAAACTCTTTTTACAATTCAAACAAACTATTTCGTTTAATGTAGCACTTGGTTTCATATTTATTAAAAATAACTTAAAGAGTTAAAACACCAATAACAGGGCTGTAAATAGAGAAACTTATTGCAAACTTTTGGTCCTATATACTTTACAAAGCCAAATACCATTTCATGTAATATTGACAAAGATATAAACACGTCACTGCTTTTTTTTTATTTAACTGTCAAATAGAGCAACTAGTACAGCAAAATCAGACATAGTTTCTTTAAATGTAACATACGTATATAAAATGTTTTTAGTGCCTACAACAAAGCGATTGTATTTATTAATGCAAAAACTTCAACTGTACAAACTTTATACATAAGACAACAATTTGTAATTATGACGCGTACGTTTACGCGGGTACGTTTTGGCGCGTCAATGACATCGAAAGGAAAGACAAATGTCACTTGGTTGTTACCAGATAATAAAACATTCTTTACATATATTTTTTTCAAAGAATTATGGCCACAATTAATATACACTTGGCGAGTTGTGGTTCTTCCTACAAACTAAAATATATTTTTCCACTTAATATATATAGACTTTGTATACAATTATATGTAAGTACAATCAATATTTATTCTAAGCTATAAGCTAAACAGTTCGTATCATAGTTTTGATCGAACTAATCTACAAATTACATGTCTATGACTATTGTTATCCAGTAGTTTAAATAAAATATAATCATAAAACATAAAACCTTCGTTTTCTTTGACATTGATAATAGGTTGATTGTGTGTATGCCTTTGCTTTAACAGTATGTTGGCGGCAAAAACATCTATTATAACATGATCTACGTTTTGTTGTTTTGGATTATTTTCTTCATGTTGTTTTTCTGCTTGTGTCCCACGGATTGACCTGAAAATAATTAGTTAGTTAGTAAAATACATACACAAACTCACTATTACAGTATTTTCGTAGTGAAATAGTAAAGTATTATTAAGACTAGCAGATTACCAGATTACCGAAAATACCTTTTGTGACAGTTGTGAGATCAAAAGTTGATCGGAACTGAATTGAGACCGAACTTTTATTACAGACTGCTTATAAACATACTTAAATATTTGAAATCCATAATAATCCACACTAATATTATATGTACGAAAGTGTGTCTGTCTGTCTGCCTGTCCGTTACCTCTTCACACTTAAATCGCTGAACCGACTTAGATGAAATAAAAATATTAGTACAGAGATCGTCCGAGTCCCGAGAAAGGACATAGGGTAGTTTTTATCCCAGAAAACATCCTTTAAGGAGGTGAAAATGGGGGTGGAAGTTTGTACGGGGAATCAATAACCGCTGGACCGATTTCGATAAGATTTGGTATGAGGATACTTTGATTCTTGAAAAAAGACATAGGCTACTTGTTACGTGGACGGAGCTAGTTATTTATCTATGATGACCTGAGTCTTTGATTTTTTTTAATTGGGACTAATCCCACCCACACGCCCACCACTGTAACTCCTGTACACCAGGATCCACAGCAGTGACCCACGAACACACCGAGTTATGACACTCGGGAAGTCCCAGGAAGAAATTAAACTGTCTTGGAACCCGCAACGAAATTAATCAGAAGAAAATTGGAGGAGTTGGAAATACAGTAAATCCACTTCCCTCCTTAGCAAAGCGGGAGACAAAATGAAGTGAAATAGGCATACACCCTTTTAAACAGGGAAGCACCACGGCCACAAAATATTACGGGTCCTACATGAGCTATATTTGATTTCTATAATATGTATGGCAGAATCGCCTAAACGCACGGAAATTCACCCTAGTTGACACAAGATCCCCATAGTATACCGCCCCAGATGTCACCTGCAAGCTATTCAGCATTATATTACGTTCATTATACCAAAGACTACATTCCCAGAGGATATGATGAGCAGACTGTTCATAATGAGAGTTAGGTGTTGAGCATTGACACAATGGTGACTCGACTAATTTAAATGAATACAACTTGCTCTTAAAGTTACCATGACCCGTAAGAAATTGAGCGACACAGTGATCCACCTCAAGCCATGTCCTCGACAACCGTTCGCGAACAGATGGAAAAAATTGGTAAAGATGGCGCCCCTTGGATGATTCGTCCCAGCGTTGCTGCCATTCGTCTATGAGGTCATTATAGACATCGGACTGCTGTTGAAGCAATCTTGTAATTTTACCGCGATCCCGCGCGCCCAAGAAATCGCATTCCATGTTTTGTCTTGAATAGTACATGGCTGCACGTCTCTGCACCTCGAGATCGACCGGAAGGACACCTGCCAACACCGGCAAAGCCTCAGTGCTAACCGTCCTATATGCCTTGCACAAAAATATCAGTGCAAGTCGTTGGCCTTGTAACAGTTTGCGACGGACAGCGCCTACGGTCGCCCTATCGGCCCACACAGGTGCACCATAGCACATAGAACCTAAATAAGTAGCTCCGTATATGATCTTTAATGTATTAAATGATAGACCCCATGTCGCAGTTGATACCCTTGTCAATGCACAGAAACTCTTTTTAGACTTTTCATTAACTATTTTAATATGTTCGATAAATGAAAAGTTTCTTTCTAAAACTAATCCTAGATAACACACTGTGGTTTTATTTTTTACAGTAACATTGTCAAATCTAATGCTCGGCGGTGATTTGAGGTTACCTTTTAAAAGTAACTGGAAGGTTTTGTTGGGTGCAAAAGTTAAGCGATTACGTTCACCCCATTGAGATATCAAGTTCAAACATCTATTGGCTAATCTCTCAAGCCCCGCCCTAGTATCAGATTCCACCAGTAATAAGCCGTCATCAGCATACGCGTTCAGAGTACATCCGGATGGTATTGGTATCGTAAGAAAATCGTCGAAGCCGATATTCCACAAGTATGGACCTAGCACCGATCCCTGAGGACATCCCATTGTAAGCGCCTTCGACACAGAATGATGACCAAGTCTTAGTTTAGTTGTACCTTGTGAAAAGTACGAAGAGATAAGGGAATAAATATTTTTAAAACACCCCCGTGATTTTAATTTCAGCAACAGCATGGGCCACCATGCGTTGTCGAAGGCGCCAGATATATCTAAGAAAATAGCCAGCACGTATTGAAATTTTGACTCTGTGACAAACTTTCTAACCGATATAACAGCGTCAGTTGTCGATTTACCCAACGTAAATCCAAATTGTCTATCATGAAATTTGACTCCACCTGGCAGAAGCCGGGGCACTACAAGACGTTCTAAAAGCTTTCCTAACGATGGTAACAATGTGATTGGTCGGTAGGATTTAGGATCATCCGGTGGCTTGTCGCCACTTTTTGGTATTATACGAATATTACCGCACCGCCATATACGAGGAAATATTCCTTCAGCAATGCAACGTTTAAAGACAGTGAAAATCGTGTCACCCGAAAGTTTACAAGCTTCTTTTATCATTTTGTTAGATATTTTATCATCACCCGAAGCCTTGTTTAGCGGCAAGGATCTAATGATACCGAGAAATTCGTCTGAAGATGGTAAATCAGACATTGGAGACAGTGGTGGTTCGATGGCCCACTGCCTGATCTGTCGGTGATGATCTGTGTCGTTTTCCGGTCGATCGTCAGGTACGAGTGAGTCTAAAAGATATTCTGCTGTTTGTTCTACTCCTGTCGTATATCTGTTATTAATTTTGATGTTCTGTATGTATGCGTGGTCGATTGATCTATTTGCCTTAAATTCGTGATACAAAGGTGACCACGGGCCCTCTCTATCGAGTTTATTAACAAGTTTCTGAATTAAGTTTCCCTTGGATTTTTCCACAGCAGCTCTGTAGTGGGACCTGGCAACTCTAAGAGCAATGAGAGCAATGTTGTACAAATCTCCTGTTACGTTATGTTTTTTAACAGTGTTTAATTTTCTACGAGCTTTCCGGTAGCTTCTACGTAGTTCGGCTAATCTATCATTCCACCAATCACATCTACGAGTGTTAGTGATAGATCCGCGACCAATAGTTACATCAGCGCAGTATGTAAAAGTTTCTGATAGTATTTCTGCGCTTTCCTCAGCTGATAAACTACTGCGACTGAAGTCTTTGGTATGAGTTGCAAAGAGTCTTTGATTTATAATGCGAATAGGTGACTGCACGGATGGCGTAGTTGTTTAAGCGGTTGCCGCTTCCTACTGCGCTGAGTGTTGTGGGTCCGATCCCCACACGGGACGACACTTTGTGTGATCCACAAATTGTTGTTCTGAGTCTGGATGTCCTTTGTGTTTATTTCATGTATGTTTGTAAAGTCCCTCGCGACACAGGATATATTTCTAATGCGTGAGTTCTCTTTAAAAAAAAAAAACAAAAAAACAAAGAGCGGGAGCAGCTTCTCTTATTCGGCAAATATAAGAAAACTTGCATATAACTCCTTTCATATAACCAATATATACACTTTATTAATATTTATTATGGTCCAAGGAGCAAATAAGGTTAGATTCGGGAGGGATTTTAGTAATATTAGTTATCTAAACATTAATTATATGTAGGAATAAAAATAACAAATTGACATATCTCGTAATCATTGGTGACGTGTGTAGTACAGGTATCTGTCAACCTATCTCAAACACCAGCTTCTCACATATAGCAAGCCATAAGGAAATAAAGGGAGATGTATATTAGTGCGGAAGTTGTCTTTAAAACATATATAAATTAAAATAATTATTATCTCACACGTGGTAGTTTGATCCCTAACCATACTTAAATACTTCTAAATCACAGATAAATGATATAAAGACTCAGTAATATAAGGGATCAAGTCGACATTTTTATGAAGTATGATTTTCAATGCTAAGGGCACAAAATGAAATTCTCTACCGCTCTGACAGAGAAACAAAAAGGATAATAATGTTCTTTAAATATATTTGTGGCTTTCTCACACTCTCCTCGCTCGTCTCCCGTTTTTAGTGCTACGAGGTCACAAGCAATAACGTGTCCATATTTGCCGAAAGCGAACTGTGAAAACTTTGTTCTATTCATGTTTGTGCAAAAAACAGGTGGGTTTTGTTCTAAAGTTTATGTATTATATAGAATAATTGGTAGTTGTGCCTTTATACAAGGTGTCTCAAAAGAAAGTTTATATTTATTTAGCTTACTGCGTGAACACAACGAGTCCGAGGGGCACGGGGGTTATGTCAATCGGTAGCCTGGCTCTTGGGAATTCAGTTGCTATGGAGCGTTTCTCGGGAGCAGACCGTACGTTGTGCGTGCGAGAGTTTTACAAAAACGGTGATTCGGCGACTGTAGCGCGTAGAAGGTTCTGTAGTGTTCGAGGTTTTCGCCATTTAAATGATGCGCCAAGCATTCCTCTTATTTGAAAATGGGTCAAAAAGTTTGAAGAGACCGGTACAACGCTGGAAAAACCAAAATCCGGGCGACCAAGGTCATCAAGAACGGTAGAAAACGGGGCGAGTGTTAATCAGTCTGTTCGTGACGACCCGAACCTTTCAATTCGGAAGCGCGCAAGTGCTTTAAATGTGCATAGATCATCATTACACCGCATTTTGCACAAAGACCTAAATCTGCACCCCTACAAAATTCAATTGGTGCAAGAATTAAAGCCCCAAGATGCCAGTCAGAGGCTTGACTTCGTAAATCAGGCGATTGAGCGCTTTTCAACGTTTACCGACATCTTGTTTTCGGATGAAGCTCATTTTCATGTTAATGGACACGTAAATAAGCAGAATTGCCTAAAGTGAAAGTATGGGCGGCGATGTCGGCGCGAGGAATTATCGGCCCTTACTTTTTTGAAGACGAAAGGGGGCGTGCAGTTACAGTGAATTCAGAGCGTTATGTGGAGATGTTAAACGACTTCTTGGCGCCTGAACTGCAAAACTTGCCTGGCCATAACTAAAGAACATGGTTCCAGCAGGACGGAGCAACGTCACACACGTCCAATACGTCTCTGCCACGAGTTCGTGAAATTTTCTCAGGAAAATTGATCTCCAGGAGAGGTGACATAAATTGGCCTCCACGCAGTCCTGATTTAACCCCTATGGACTTTTTTCTATGGGGTTATCTTAAATCTAAAGTTTACGCGAATAAACCGACTTCCCTGGGGCATTTGAAAGAAAATATCCGTCACGAAATGGCAGCCATCACTGAGTTCACCTGCCGAGCCGTCATAAGTAATTTTACTGTTCGATTAAATGAGTGCTGCGAACGCGAGGGTCTACATTTGGAGGATATTATTTTTAAGAAATAAATGCCCAAATTGTGTACTTTAATAATTAATAAACATTTTTTCGATACACTGCTTACTTTTTTTTAAATCGATCTACTAAATATAAACTTTCTTTTGAGACACCTTGTATTATACAAAATTTAGCAAATATTTGGGTCTGATTCATAATAGATCGATAAATTGCTAAAAAATGAAGATGTTTTCTTGTACTACATGGGCTTAACTTGAAAGTGTTTTTTCAATCATTTGGAATTTATGGAATTTATTTATATTATCGTTTTGTTTGTTATCAAAGAAAAAATCTGCAAAATTTTACATTTATAACTTAAATAATAGGCAATTTATTCACAAAATAAGCTGTAACGTAAGAATCTTTAAACGCGATTCCCAAAAAAAACTATTTTTTGCATTATGCCTCTATATTACTAAAGGTACGAAATTATTACGCTTATCATACAACTATTTGACCTGGGTGGGAATGAAACCCACGACCTATGGCTAAGCAGTCAGGGTATCTGACAAGAAGACTAACAGGCCAGACAAATATAGTAATAATATTAAGTATTGTGCTAGGTTTTATATTAGTTTCAAGCCATTTTTAAGCCCAGCGGTTTAGGGGTGAAAACATTACAAAGAAACAAAGTTACTCTAGCATTTTATGTTGGTACCTATGCATATATTTATGTTCCCTACTTCAGAGATGGGATATGAAAATTTCATAGCTAATCGCTTACCAGACGACATGTAAGTATGCTGGTTTGATATCTTAGTGATATAAATAAATACCTTTTATAAATTGAGCTATATTTAATAACCCACGCGTCGAAATCCGTGTATAGGCCGTGAAGACTTGCTGCGTTACTCTCTAGCGGTTCTGAAAAAAAACAGAACTGTCTTTAACGCGGTTAAATGAAAACTTATTCGATGTTCTGATAGATTCCATATTAAAAAAATAACTAATTACTTAATTATTACTTTTCTATACCCAACGTCGCTAAAGTACCAACTTAGAACTACAATAATAATAATAATATAATATATCTCACACATCTCACACACGGCCGTCTGATCCCAAACTAGGCAGAGCCTGTACTATGGTTACCAGACCGCTGATAAACATACTTATATATTTTTAAATACATACATATTATAGATAAATTACACCCAGACACAGAACAAATGACCGTGCTCATCACACAATATTTGTCCTGTCTGGGAATCGAACCCACGACCTCCGGCTTAGCAGTCAGGGTCACTGACCACTACACCAACGGCCCGTTAAATTTGATTTTTATGAAAAATATCACCTCACGTCGCAGTCTCCTCGATAAAACTTTTTGGTAATTTTATTAACCTTAGAATTACTGACTTAACTAAACACCTAATCAGTCATTTCTACACCTATTTTACCCAAAGTTTCTACCTTAAGTTGGACTGATAATACTGATAAACAAATCAAATAACGTTATGTCAGTCTTTGTAGATTTTTGCACATAAAGTGTTAATAAATAAAATTAATACGAATTGAAATAAAAGCCAATTTAGGCTATGGCGTAAGAAAATTTTTACTTTTATACTCATTAATCACAACTTTTACGACTAGGGTTTTTTATGGTATAAGGGGGCAAACGAGTAGACGGGTCACCTGATGGTAAGCAACTACCGCCACCCATGGACACCTGCAACTCAAAAGTCACAAGTGCGTTGCCGCCCTTAGAGTCCCTCCCGCTCGAGTCAGCGTGAGGGGGGATTTGGGCTCCGGTAACCTCACTCACTCAGTGAAAGGCAACGAAAGAATTGTTTAACACCGGTTTTCTGTGAGGCCGTGGTATCACTCCGGTCGAGGCGGCTCATTATTTCCTAATGGTTACCTACACTCTTCAAAAGTTATAGAATGTAGCTTAGTTAGGTTATTGTAAATTACTCATTAATTAGTGATCTGTCTTGTATATAGTGAAAATATCATTAAAATAATAATGATAATATTTTCAGACATTGACATACAACGCCATCTAGTTTCAAACTAAGCATAGCTTGTAATATGAAAGCTAGATTGACTGATAGAATACTTTTATACTTTTTTTTTGTAAATACATACATATTATATATAGAAAACACCAAAACTACGAAACGTATATTTGTAGATCATACAAACATTTGGTCCGACCCGGGAATCGAACCCGAGACCTCAGCACAGCAGTCGCATACATTACCACTTCTGCAAGCACAGATATTACAGAGTTTAGACACAGATGTTCATCATTAATATCAATAGCCTTTAGTAGTCCACTGCTGGACATAGGAGGAAAAATCTTTGGAAAGGAGATTTTAGCCTTCTATACCACGTTGGCCAGACAAGTTGATACAGGGTGTGTGTCAAGTTTGCCTTTGCCAAGTTTCTCTTTGCAGTGTTGTTGTTCTGCGTAGTTTTCTCCCTTAGTCGGCTCTTACGACACTCACGGGATGAATAGGGATGGTGACACTCCGTATTCTTAATCCGTCACCATACGGAAATAATATCTATTCTAAATAGTAAAATTAAATCCGTGCGGTCCTATCCGTGTGGTGACGGATTAAGAATACAGACTATCACCACCCCTATTCAGTCCGTGGGTGTCGTAAGAGCCGACTCAGGGAGCAAACTACGCAGGACAACAGCACTGCAGAGAGAAGGAAAACTTGACACAAACCCTATACCTACCAAGCCGTCTGGCCAGCGTGGTATAGTAGGCCAAAACCTCATTTCTAAGGAGAGGCCTATGTCCAGCAGTGGTCTGTTAAAGGCTGTTGATAAAAATTAAATCTATTTTAAAATAATAAAATCAAATGAGTTCATTTGTTGGACACACTCTTCTGTAGAAGAATGTAACTGTATGACCTCCAGACTTTCAAGAATAGAGAGTATTTCAACTTCAAATGTCGGCAACACAAGCCACCTCCACTCGTGGCTAACTGGCAATCCAGCAGGTTAACACATTGCAAAGTTAAGCAATCCTAGCCAGGTCAGTCAGTCTAGATCTACCATTTCTTAACACATCGAGACCCCTTCGTGTCTTGGAGAGCACGTTAAGCCGGTGGTCCCGGTTGCATTACGAACTTTTGTGGCAATCGTTACGGGTACTTGGAGCCCTAAAAAGTGCGACAACAGAACTTCGACAGGACACGAAGTATGATGATAATCGAAGATCAGCCGTATCGTAGTAAACTTAAAGGCCACAAAACTTATTTTATGAAAATGGCTCTGCCGAAGTCACGATGCCTCTGTCTACCGTTCGAGTGATAAAGACTTTAATATATGTATGTAAAAGATAACAGGAGAGATAGCTACACGCTTTCTTTTTTTATCTTGACTTAATATATGTATAAAGGTCAACCATCGCTCGGCCTTTGAACTTAACTGGCCGGACGACCGAAGCGTCATACTTGTTTACTAACAAACTGACTGCGATTTAATCATTAACGCATATGAATGACATAATTAACTGCTTAATTTGCTTTGATTACAATATGCTTACATAAAACGGAATTGTAAAAAGTATGGTCATACCTTGGCCGACAAATTGGTGACTGACGTCTAAAAAAAAGTTTTATTTGTCTATTGGTCATACAATCAATTTGTGTTTTTTTTTGCTTTTTGTTTAGATATTGCCGGAGGCGTTCCCATATTCTATGAACGTATTTACACCTATTTCTTGCATTAATGTGTTAAAGCATACTCGTAGTTCAGCTCAAAGCGATATCAGTAGTATCTAGGCAAGGAGAATGACATGAAGTCGTTTTTTTTTGGCGCGTTGTTGAGGAATTTCTTAATGTGTTTCTTTTTATCTTTCTTCAGGAAATCAACATCCACATATCTTGTCGGCTGTGAATTTCGAAACCTTGTAGCATTGTATTTTTAACTTCAATTTTAGTATTTATAGTCTTCTTTTGGAATTAATTATATCTTTCTCAGTAAAGTTAAAAAACAAAGCTTGGCCTTAAAGCTCTAGTGTAAGCTTTCCAAAATTCATGAAGCCGGTTAGACTACAGAACATACCAAAGAAACCAAAGAAATTTACACTCGAAAAACGTGACCCTCCTTCTGGTGGCCGGTGGTCGAGTAAAAAAGGGTAGGAAAGAGTCTTCTACTATTTGATAATTTACTTAATTGTACAATATTAAAGTTCTTGTATGTAAGATGCCGCGAAAAGTTGCACATCATGTAAGTCGCTTTTGACAGAAGTGTCTCATCAGTCATTATAAATACAAAATTGAAAAAAGCTTTCCATTAAGGAAAAAACCTTTTGACTTGTTTATTGGCCTAGTTGTTGGTTGATCCTGACTACTCTCAGAGGACGTGGGTGCGATTCCCACCAAGGCCAAATACTTAATTGTGCGATGAACACGAGCATTGATTCTGTTTGGGTGTAATTTATCTATAATATGTATGTATTTTGAAATATATTAGTATGTTTATCATACTTCTCTAGGGATCAGACTTACAGACTGCCATGTGAGAATTGTCAAGTACCTACTAAATAAATAAAAAATGCAAATTATGAGTATTTAGGGGCCACGTCCGCAAATGAACTAAGAAATGAATGAAATAAGTTCGAGGTTCAAGTTGTCAAACTATAAGAAGCCACTGTTTTATTCAAAGAACGTACCTACATTTACAAAACGCTTTAATTAATTCACACAAGAATAAGTATTTATTTAAATAACAAAATTAATAGAATATTCTCTCATTGATACTTGTACGTCTTTATTTAGACCAATATTAAAAACAAAACCAGATTGGCATTGAACATTTTACCGCCAAAATATGACGTTTAGTTTTTTTAAATATGGATTTTGATCATCTGTATCAATGGTATCAGTTTTAAAAATCAATTTCGATTTTTGTAAACATTAGATAAGAATCCCATTGATAATAATTATATCTTTTTATTATGACATGTCACACACCTGACGGCTGTCTCATCCCAAACTAGGTAGAGTCTAAACTATTGTAACCGGTTTGCTGATAAACATACTTAAGTATCATTAAATACATACACATTATAGTCAAGTTACGGTAATGAAACAAATGATAGTGCACATTAAATCGAATCGAACCCATGACTTTTAGCTCAGCAGTCAAAATTACTACCCTTTAATAATAATACCCTCACACCTTCACATATCTCACACACGGCGATCCCAAACTAGGCAGAGCCTGTACTATGGTAACCAGACTGCTGATAAACATACTAATATATCTTTAAATAGATACATATTATAGATAAATTACACCTAGACATAGAACAAATGATCGTGCTCATCACACAAATATTTGTCCTGGGTGGGAATCGAACCCACGACCTCCGGCTTAGCAGTCAGGGTCACTAACCATGAGACCAACAAGCCCGTCGACTTTGGTCCAACTGCCTGCTCAGTATTGAAATGTCAGGCTGTCCATAGGTACAGTGGCAACAGTTTCAACACAAATAATAATATATACATAAACATATATGCAAATCATCTTATTGATTCATTGTAATGTAACAAATGAACGAAAACATTTTGTTTTTGATAGGTATTATAGCTGTCTTATTGAAAACAACAATAATGAAACAGATAGAAGTCAACATGTCGTAAAAAATCTTTGCAATGAATGCAATGATTTTTAATCAACTATTGACTTTAGGGTTTTTTTTAAAACTGATATGCTTACATAATAAGTTTTATTATAAGTTATGGTGACTTCTATTTATTAAGTGATCTATGCTTCTTACGTGTTAGAAGTTTAAAATAGTTATGCATTGTCTATTACTCTTTTTTTAAACGCTAACTCCAAACACCGAAGAAAAGTAAATTAATAAAAAAAAATTCAAATTCAAACCTACGTCACTTTTTTTTCTAAACACCATGTACACACAAATAAAAATTAACTAGAAAATTAAAAAAAGCTTACCAGTCAATATTTCGTGTTCCATTTTTCAAAACACTGTATCCGTTTATCACCAGTGAATGTCGTTAAACAACTGCGCAAACAATAAATATTGTGACAATAATATATTGTTTATGTTTATATCAGTGTAAACAATGTTGACGTCTTGGCGCTTTGATAGCGAGAGTTAAACAATTATGTTCTAGTGATGTGCACGTGGTTTATCGATGATTTAGTGTCGATATATGTTATCGATGTATGACTGACGTGTTTTAGATAAGTAAGTAATTGTTTATCTATTGTTGTGTTGTGTCATATTTATCTTAAGGATTTATTGTCACGTTTTTGTTTCACTTAAATGTTTTGCTGTGTTCTTATCACTATACCTATTTGTATTACATACGTTTTTCTGTTATGTTCTAATATGATTACGTTAATAAATAATTAATTGTAATTCTTGTATGTAAAAGAAGCCAGAAAAAAAATTAAAAGAAAGTATTTTTTTAGAGTAAGTGAGAAGCCAATTCAAGTATAATTTCGATCCCCTCTCTTCAATAAATTTTTTCAATCTTTTATTCTCTATATAACTATATACACTCAAGACTTTATTTTTTTATTTATTTTTTATTTATTCATCTTTATGCACTTTTGTACATCGGCGGACTTAATGCCCAGGGCATTCTCTTCCAGTCAACCTTTGGGTGATGTAGAAATCTTGTCAGGTAGTACTATATCTTCAAAGGGATAGGTTGAAACGTATTAAAGACTCATATTTCCCCAACTTTCTTAATTACAGTTAATTGTCGTCAGTTGGGCACCGGGAAAGTATAAACAAGAGGACAAGACAATGGTTTTTTTTTTATGTGAGAGGGGGTAGTAGGACCCGAGTAGACGGGTAGTATGGAAAGTGACTCTTGGTGCCCATGAACGTCTGCAACTCAAGAGTAACAAACGCGTTGCCGTCCTTTTAGGTACTCAGTACATCGTCACACCATCCGTACTCCTTGTACCCTATTTTCTTGAAGGTTTGAAGGTCGTATCGGTTCGGAAATACCGCAGATGATAACTTAAGAAAGGCAAAGCAATTGTATTGCCCATATAACTGGATTGGTGAATACAAGCAAATATTCAAGCCGGTCAGAGTCGCATGTCTGTGAATTGGATTGGCTGCTACCAGAAAGAGCGTGCCTCTAATCAGTTTTATTAATGGTTTATCGATATCCCTTCCCACAACACTAGCGCCATAATCAAATGTCCGTATTCTGCAACCGGTTTCCAGTCAGTACTGAGGTTACATTCGATTAGCTAACACGCACCGTTTACGTCACAATTAACATTTTGTAAGCGTTATAATGTTTCGACATATTGCCTTAGGAACATATTACTTTTATAAATTACTTCCTTATTTGACAAGCAGGCAGTTCACCTGATGGTAAGTGACTACCACCGCCCGTAGAAACCTGCCACTTAAGAAGAGACATCAGTGCATTGCTGCTCGTCTCCCCCATAGGCAGTGGGAGGCATTGAGGTTTTGGTTACCTCGAGTGGGAGGACTTAGTTAAAAATAATAAAAGGAATGCCTTACACTTCCTAGTCTCACATCACATCATCACATCAACAGCCTATAAAAGTCCACTGCTGAACACGAGCCTCTTCATAGAAAGGAGGTTTCGGCTTACTATACCACACTGGCCAAACGGGTTGGGGTTTGTGTCAAGTTTTCCTTCTCTTTGCAATGCTGTTGTTCTGCGTAGTTTGCTCCCTTAGTCGGCTCTTACGACACCCACGGGATGAATAGGGGTGGTGACACTCCGTAATCTTAATCCGTCACCACACCACACACCACTTCCTAGTATAATAACAGTTATTACATATTCATTAACTTTTAAACTTTCGCGTTTCATGGTGTGTAAATATTATTATATTAACATGCACTTCCGTCTTTATCCCCAAGGATATGCCCCTTCGAAGATAGTTTAGCCATAGCTTCCTTTAGCCTCTTGGTTTAGTGGTTGGTGATCCAGACTGAGAAACGAGAGGTTTGATTCTCACCCAGGACAAATAATTGAGTGATGAGCACGAACATTCATTCTGTGTCTGTGTGTAATTTATCTATAATATGTATGTATTTAGAAATATATAAGTGTGTTTATCAACAGTCTGATTATTATAACACAGGCACTGCCTAAGTTGGAATCAGATGACCTTATGCGAGATGTTCCGAGTTATTATTATTATCTATACAAATAAATAAAATTAAAGTGTCTGTTTGTAATGACTAAATAATAGATTTACTTCATGCTCACACGGTTGTTTGCACGAAACCTACACCTAACAAAATATTTTTTGTCTGTCTGTTTGCTCCAGGTAATCTTCAAAACGGCTTGCCCGATTTTGATAATATTTTACTAAAAGGTAGCTGTCTATATAAGGAGTAACTAAGGTTATTTTTTTCTCTCGTAAAACCTCTATAAAATTTTGTCCGGTCCGGACATCGAGTCCACTGAGGCTGCGCTTTTCAAACTCGCGGAAGTCACGGGCACAAGCTAATCTATATATATACTTATATATAAATATAAATGTTAAGTTAGTTTGTGTACGCTCCAAAAACTCAAAGGTTCTGCACCCATTCAAATTTTGACACGATATACAAGACTCTTCGAAGGTTGTTTTAACTATTTTCCAACTCATTTTGATCCTCATTTCCCACTATTACAATGTGAATGTAGCACAGCGAAATGAGGCAGAATACAGCTAGTAAACTATAATTCTGCATTAGAACATTTGAAAATAAAATCAAAGTGCTTCTTAATAGATTCTCGTAATTTTTTCTAGTTCATTACATTTTGATATTCCTTAGCTAACTTGGTTAATGGGAGGTGATCGAACTTGGGGCCATAAACCCACCAGACATACATCCGGTATTATGTGACTAGTTACTTTTGTGGTATCTTTATTTTGTTTAAATAAATAATGTTTGATATAAGAGAAATACCTTAGTGTAACTCTTAATACCGAGGGGATTTCCGCACGGCAATAAAAAAAAGTGTAACTCTTAATAATCTACAATGGCAACAATATATTAAAATTAATAGATTATATTATACCCATTACGTCAGTCAATGAATCATACCACTGCAGCTGAATCTGGGGTTCTCCGAACGTGCGTCATAGCCCTCAGTTCCGTCTTCCGCATCCAATCTCCTTCAGGTACCAGGGGCGTACTACCATTCCTTTACTGATTCAAGGTCGCCGTCACCATTTTGGCCTCTTTACCGTGAAAGTATTCAGTAGTACTTGAGTTAAAAAACTCTGAAAGCAAACATTATAGGATGAAACAAAACATAGTCCATAGATAAGAGAGTTATTTATACAAGGTCTAGTTTTACCTTAATTACAGGTAATTAGAAGTAAAAATGTATATCAAACAAAACTATCTCGTAGATTATACATGAATTTAATGTATTGTACAACAATGTATTTTAATTTTATGCCTGTTTAAATTTATTACACTGAAAATAAAATCTTTCTTGAAAGGTTAGGAAGTAAATTTTCACAATATAATAAAATATATGTTTCTCGCTATACGATTTTCATACATCCAAACGTTTATTTTATGGCATAATGGATGTGTCGACTTCCACATAGAATGAAACGAAGAAACAAAGTACAATGCCATCTATCGAAGACACACCGAAGTACGGTGTTACATTAATCCTGTATAGCGATATTAACAATTATCCCACCGATTAGCATAAATACAACTTCCCAACATCAACTGCTGGGCCGCGGACCGCCAGGCATGATCACCTCGCCTGGTCTAAGGATCCTCCCTTTGTGTTGGAGGGACATGACACCCATTCCTTCACAATGGACACGTGCAATTTAAGAGTCAAAGTGCCTCGGCGCCTTTTCTGTCCCTCTTTGAAACAAGTGGAGGGGAGGTTTGGGTTCAGGTAAGGTCACTCACTCGGTGATAAGCAACGAAACACAAGAAAGCAAATACCGGTTTTCTGTAATGAAGTTGTATCACTTCCGTCAGCCTGCTTATCTAGGCCGAAGCGTGGATCTCTTACGGTAAAACTTAAATATTATGAACAGAAGAAGTTTAGAAAGCTTAAATTTCTACATAATAAAAATAATATTTGCGGACATCTTACACACAACGCCATCGAGTTTCAAACTAAACAGAGCTACAAAAATTAGATTGATACTAAGAATACTTATATACTTTTTTTTGTAAATACATATATGTTATACATAGAAAACACCAAAACTACGAAACGTATATTTGCAGATCATACAAACATTTTTATAATATATGTTATAAATTTGAAAAATTATGAGAAACGCAGCTACATCGAGCGACATGCGTCCAAAATATACTCATAGTACTTAAGTCTATGCAATTTTAGATAAAGTTATAGCCTCCAAATAAATGAAGAAAAAAACTGTAACTTAATGAGTTCTGATTCGTGATAACCAGGCAATCTCAAGTTTTAAAAATATGGTTTTTAATGTGTTCTTTTTGGTAAAATGCAACAAACTATATACTTAAAGGCAATTCACGATTTTAAAACACGTCAAGTTGTTTACCAGTAGTACTTCAGTTATATTGGCACTTTTAATATTTTCATTAAATTCTTAAAAGTACGCTTAATATTCTTTAATTTAAAACTGGAGGGAACAGGGTATAGGTATGTTACCGTATTAATGACGTATTACAATATGGCGGCCGTATTTCCGTATTAACCGCTGCGCGCCAAAATTATATTATGACGCTAATTTATAAAAGACCACACTCAGTAGTGACTGATATGATAGTAATAAAACTGAGCAGAAATAGCTTTACAATCATATTAAGTAGTTTTGTATGTTCTAAATACCTTAATAAATACTTATAATAAAAAATAACTAATGAACATTTTGCAATAGTGTTTACATCGTCGTAACTTATGTGTCTTAAAAGGAGTGCAAAAGTGAAGGCTTTGTTTAAGTTGTTGGCCTTGTGGACTAATCCTGACACAACACTGAATTCTATGATGA